TGGAGTCTGCTGCAGGGTGACGGGCAGGCTCCCTGACACGCCTCGTGGGCCCCGTCTGCTCCCAGGCAGGTCCCTATGCTCAGGCCTCCCAGGTCCATGGAGGCTACTCAGGGCCCTTTCCAAATGCCACCACCTTGGCCCCGCCACTTCGGGTCCCCCTGCCAAGTGTGGGAGCTTGTCCTGATCTCCGTGTCCCTGCTAACGGCGCCCCCACCGACACCAGTGCCTGGCAGCCAGGGGCCCCGAGCGGCTGGAGAGAAGGCCCGGGAAGACGGAACCCTGGCGCGAAGCCCTCCTGTCTCCTGGGTCGGACTCCTGGGCGTCCCCTAGACGGCATGTTTGGGGACGAGACTTGGCTGTGGAAGTTCAGTCCTTTGTAGCTGAGCCCTAGCTGCCCCTCCAGCTCAGAGCCCCACAGCCGGCAGGCACCATGCGCTCCTGCACTCTGCGTGGGCACAGCCAGCAGGTTGTGGTCACCCAGCCCTGCTCTGGCTGCAGTGGCCACCCTGCTTTTCGTCCCATCCGTATCTGAATCCGGTCGCTTGGGTGGAAATCCGAGTGATCGGGCCAGTGTGGAGACCAGGACGTTTGCCCTTGCTCACGCGTGTCTTTTCACAAGTGCAAGCTCAGATTCAGAGGGCCCGGCATCTGCCCTTGGAGTGCCCGCCGGGGGGGCTCAGGCTCCTCCCCCCTTGGGGGTGGGTCTGTGTGGTCGTGGTGCCTGAGAGCCGAGATGCCGGTGCAGACCGGTCAGGACCGCAGGACACGGCCCTTCGAGGGGAGCCCGGTCCAGTGGGAGTTCATGGAAACACGCCCGGGTGGCCTCCCCCAGCCTGGTCGTCCGAGCCTGTGCTGTGCAGAATAGGGAAATGCCCTCCACTCCAGGCAGAACCCTCTGGGTTCCGTGGGCAGGTCACTAGGTCCATGCGTGCCCAAGGCGGACGTGTGCCAGGGTGCTTGTGTGTGGGTGAGGGGCCCGGGGGTGCTTCTCCCGACTCGGGCTTGCAGCCGCGAGCTGTGCACAGAGCAGACGTTCCGCTTCCTTCGTGCAGCACAACACCATGGAGTCCTTGCTGGAGCGCGGGGAGAAGATAGACGACCTGGTGTCCAAGTCCGAAGTGCTGGGGATCCACTCGAAAGCCTTCTACAAAACGGTGGGTGCACCGGCTCCCCAGGCCCCGGGCCCTTGACAGCGAGTAGAGGCCTGCCCTGCAGGAGGAGGGTCGTGGGGGAGGTGGCCCCTGGGGTTGCGGCGTCTGAACAGGAAGCAAGAGGTCCCTGGGGTCAGGGCCAGGCAGCCTTGTTTGGGGAGAGTGTGGGCAGCTGGATCCTTCCCATAGTTTGTGCCCAGCAGCCCCTTCCTGGTGGCAGGAACGGGTGTGGAGGAAGTGGTCTTGGCTGTGAGCTGCTCCCAGACAGCTTGCCTGGGGGGGTGGGGGGCGTTGAGGACAGGTAGCTTCCAGTCCTCTGTCCCAGCCAGCACCCTGGTCCCCAGGCTCCTGCACTGTGTGCCCAGGTCACTGCCGCCGCCTCAGGCCCCACCCCCCTTCAGCTGCTCTTTGTTCCTCTCTAGGCCCGCAAGCAAAACTCGTGCTGTGCAGTCATGTGACTGCAGCCCGCAGAGGCCCCCTCGATGCAGAGTCCCTGCCATTCACACCAGAACCGCAGCCCCCCGAGAAGCCTGGTGGCCACGGGAAGACCAAAGTGCAAACACCCACCGTCAGCTTTGAGCTCCTGGGAGGAGCCGAGGGCTGATGGGAGGGACCTGGGGCGGGGCATGTTCAAATTCGTGTGTCTAGTAATTTTTGAAAGACGACTTTAGGCCCCCAGAGGTGTACTTTTGGGCCAAATGAAACCATAAACACTCTGGACTCCTGCTGAGGCCAAAGGGGTCGTTTCTAACCCCGACGGCCCCGGGTCAGGGCCGGCTCTGCTGGTCCCCAGCAGCCTTTGGGTTTTACTCGTTAACTGTGCCAGCACTTCAGTAAGGGGCTCCCGGTCCACAGGGCCGGGGGGTGGTGGGCAGGTGCACGCTCGGCTCTCCTGGGGAAGCCGCACAGGGCCGCTGGGGGTGGGGGTGGGCCAGCGAGTTGGGGCTGAGGCCAAGGGGAGTCGGTCACTGGGCCTCACCAGTTCTGCAACGGTTTTCGTTTCTGTGGACGCCTCCATGGAGCTCCACAGAGGTGACCTGGAGGTCTTTGCGGGGCGGGCAGGACACCTCACCTGACCTGCAGTTTGACCTCGAACATCAGATCACGGGTGTGTGCCTCTGATGACAAGCCTGCCTTGGCAACCACCGGGGGCTTGCATGTCTTAGCAAGTGGCTTTTCCTATGGCCACTGCCAATGGGCATCAAGAGTAGGTGCCAGCCAACCCAAGGGCTCCCAAAACCCCACCTGTGGTCAGGGGCCCGTCCCCCCACCCCGGCCTGACCCCCGCAGCAGGAAGATGGGCTGCACAGCGGCCCAGGTGATGGCCGCCCTTGGCCTGCCGGGTCCCACGCTGCCTCTTCCTGCCCCGCTGGGCTGCCTGAGGACAAGGTACGCCCTTGGACTGGGCCCCAGGAAGCCCCTGCTGGGGTGGTTGCCTCTCTGGCCTCTTCCATAGGGGCCTTTCCCTGACATGCTGGTTCTTGCCTGACCCAAAGGTCCATTCATCCAGCAGGAAGTGCCGTAGCTCTGAAATCTTGCTTGGGCCAGAAAACAGGATATGGCTCCTGACCGCCCTGCCCCTGACAGGTTTACCTGCTGGCTGCTCTTGTCCTGTGGGTGCTGCTGGCCTGCCCGCCTCCATGTAGCCAGTTTGTCCGCGTGACTCCCCTCCTGGGCGGCGCAGGCCCGTCCTGCTCACCGGTGCCTGAGGGGGCTGTGGCCCCACATGGGTAGTTCAGGTCCTGGGTGATGGGGAGGACGTGGGGCGCAGGGGGAGCTGGGGGAGGAGGGAGCAGGTGGGGGCCTGGCTCGGGCGCTGTGCCGTCTTGTCCCCTGTTCATGTCATTCTAATGTTCAGTCATCTGGCTAAGAGTGTATTTTAGTAATCGCTGCCTAACTCTTCTCTGTCTTGTTCGACAAGTTCCTGTCTGGATAAAGTTGTCTTTTGAAATTCCAAAATGGTCCTATGCTTTGTGTAAGTTTCAGGGAGCCCCCTCCTCTGCGCTGTGCACACTGCTGGGGTGATGTGGGGGCCTGGGCCGTAACCTTCCTCCCCTCTCCCAGCCCTCCACCCAGGCCCAGCAGGACCCAGGTGAGGGGGAGCTGGGCCCTGCAGGTGTGCGGGGCACCCTTGCGGGCTGGGGCATCTGGCCCCAGTTTAGGGAGCGAGCGCAGCTGCAGGTCGGTAGAGCTCTGTGAAGACTTGGCAACCCGGTTCGTCGCTGGCTGGGGGCCCTGCTCTCGGCTCGCCACCAGTCGGAATCAGAAGCAGCCCTGGGCTCTGGCAGGGCCAAGCACACCTGCTTTTCCTGCTGAGGCCTGGGAGCTCTTCCCAAACAGGTGCTACTTACCAGTGACAGGTGGAGGCCCTCACTGACCTCCCTCTGCCAGAGCTGCCGGCCTTACCCCCAGGCCTGACCTGCACAAGCCAGGGGGAGACGCCCCACTCAGGGCTCGGGACCCCAGGGAGCCTGACCGGGACGGTGCCTCTGATTACAGCTGATAGGCCGCCGGTTGGAGAGAGACTCCGCCGGGAGGCTGCACTTCCAGGCTGTCCTACATTCTCCCGGGCCAGCTCAGGTCTCCCTAGGCCCTGCTGCCAGGTGCAGCCTCCCTCCTGCCCACATACTTGAGCACACCTGCCAGGTGCAGCCCACTGGCATGCTCACGTCAAGGGCCTCCTGGCCTCCAGCTGCACCAGGGGCTGCAGCTGGAGGTGGTGGCCCGCAGAAGTCCCCGGGGTGCCTGCATCATCAGCCTGTTGGCCCCACAGGCAGGCGTGTCTGATGTCTAGGATGGATCTGAAGCCTGAGTTTCTTCTGTCCCAGGAAAGCACATGACATGGAGTACAGACAGGCAGCCGCTGGGCCTGGGGCCCGGGGCAGGGGAAGCCACCTGTCTCCACAGAAGGTCGTGTCTGGGAGGGAGGTGGACCAAGAGGCCTGCAGCAGCCGAGTGTGCAGCCATAGGATCAGATGGCCTCCAGCCAGGTGGTCAGGTGTCCAGTCAGGCCACACAGCTATGTGATCAGCGCTAATTGGCACAGGCCGAAGGTGGATATTCCTAGGGGAGGTCCCTACGGGCTTGGTGTCCCTGCGCTGTAGGGACACAGCTGGGGGATACATCCATCGTGAGGAACAGGCCAGGGGCACAGAGGGTGGAGCAGAGCCAAGGACAGGAAAGGCTGGGGCAGCTGCAGTGGGAGGCCTGGTGGGGAGCGCCTAGCCCTGCTGCCCCAGACCTCACGCCACCCACCCTCAGCCCAGCCACCCCGGGCTCAGTGCCTAGCATCCCTCTCCGCATGTTTCTGCTGGGGGTCCTGTCCTCTGGACCTCCGTGAGGAGCCTGTCATGGTCCCCCTTGTCATCGCCTACCGTCCGGTCTTTGCATCCCAGCAGCCACTGTTGTGCTGTGTGTGACATTGGTGTCTGACACTGGCCCGGCCTGTGTGGTGTCGGCACACCCCAGCACATGGGCTCATGCAAGCAGGCCAGGGTGGTGCCGGTGGCGAGCAGGACAGGGAGGCGGCACTGTGGGTAAAGGCGCCTCAGCAGGGCAGTGGAGCCCTGGCCTGGGGACCCTCCCACAGGGAGGTGCCCTCCAGCCCCCCTTCGGAAACTACTGGGGTGACTAGAGAGGTGGGGGCGTGGGGGAGCAGCTGCTGGAGCTGTGACCTGCGGCTGCACAGAGGGACCCCTGGGCGGGCTCTCCACCCGACAGGCTCAGGGCAGCCCAGACGCGGCCTCTGTGGCCAGGGCCAGCTGAGGGCCCCCACCAGGAGGAGCCAGGGTGCAGGGGGCAGGGTCCCAGCATAAAGCACCCAGCTGTGCAGGAAGCAGTTTGTCCTGTTTTTCTTTTATTCGCAGTTTCCCGAGACAGAACAAAATAATTTTTTGTACACTTACAAGGCTCAGAAAGAAAAGACAAGGAAACTCAGCAAAAAGAGAGGAGGAAAGCCAGCCAGCGCCGCGGCAGCTGACCCTCTGCAGGGCAGGCCGGCGAGGCCACACCGCGGACATCTAGCTAGGAGAGCGGGTGTGGCTTGCTCGTGGGGGTCATGCAAAAGAACTATCCCCCAGAAAAAATCCCCAAATTAACCCAGACAGGCAGCTCCGTGGAGATAACAGGAGTGGGAGAGGAGGGAGGAGGCCCCAGGAGGTGCGGGTGGCTGGGCCACACGCTGTCTGCCATGAGCCCTGCCATGTGCTGCCCACACCCAGGGAGCCTGGCAGATGCTCACCCCGTGTCCGTGGGTGGGGACAGCTGTCCTGAGCACAGCTGTGGACGGGCAGGTGAGTGTCCACTAAGAGTGTCTGACGATGGACAGCCTACTTGGAGAGCAGGTGCTGTGTCCTGTCCCCACCCCATGACCCCCCCCCACCCCAGCTTGACTTGTGAGGGAAGAGAAGAGAATCTTTGTTGAAAACAACATCAATTAAAGGGGAAGGAGTTGGGCCCCACACCTCTGTGAACAGGCCCAGGCAGACCCGCACCCGCACCCTTGGCTGCTCTCCGCTGCCATCTGACCGCACAGGCCGTCCCTGAGCCTTAGTGCTGGGAGCCCTGCGCCTTCTCCCCGCTCAGAGTCCCGGGCACACACTGCAGCCTCCTGAAGCCTGGCGAGGGGGTCGGCCCGGCCCTGCCCTGGCCTCCCGCAGCACTGCCAGAGGCCGGGAGCCCTGCAGTAGCCAGGAGCCCTGGAGCTCCTGCCCCTCGAGCCCCTGCCCCTGTATCTGCGGAAGGCCCCGTGGGCTTCTGCCGAGGGTGTTTCCCCCGCCGGGTGTAGCCGGCCTGGGTCTGACGCTAGGCGTACCCACCTGCACCTCCTGCCCCTAGGAGGGCCAGAGCCAGAGCCCTGGGCCCCAGGGGCTCCTCTCATGACTGGTCCTTCTGGGGGGCTGGCCCAGCCTCTGCATGGCCGGTCCACGCTGGGGCACTGGCACGGGAGGGGCCCACACCCGCCTTCTTGGTTGGGGGAGAGGAAGGGAAAAGAAGCAGAGGGAACAGCTGCGCTCAGGCCCGCGGCCCCCGCAGCGCCCCCAGACGACACCAGACACTACCCACTGCGCGCAGGGCAGAGGGCTGGGCCCCTTCGAAACAAACACGGCAGGGCAACGGGCGCCGTCCCGTGGACAAGTTCACCGCCGGCGGTCCGGAGGCCAGGAGCGGACAGACAGGTGGAGCTCGGGTAGGGAATGGCCAGTACGTTCGAAGCCCCACGAATGCCAATCATTTTTACAGCTTTTTCCTTTCTTTAGTTTTTTTTCCCATTTCATCCGACATTTCGTGTGTGTGGTTGTTGCTGTCATCTTGTTTTTAAAAAGAAATCACATCTGGTCTTGGTTTTCTGCAGACACAGGCACCAGGGGAGGAAGAGGCAGACACAAACATGCGACAGGCAGGCCGTGCGCCGAGGCGGCTGGGCGCCAAACACCATCCGTCGGGCTCTGCAACGGCGAGGGCGGGGTCAGCGCCGGCGCACGCGCAGAGGTGGCTGCGGGCACGCAGGCCCCGCCCCGCCGCCGAGCCCCCGCCCGTCCGAGGCCCCGCCTCCACGCCGGGCTCACCTTCACTGCAGCGGGGCCACGGGCGCGCCTGAGCAGTGGAAGTGCACGTTCTGCCACTTGCCCTCGCGGCGGTGCCACACGCGGGTCTCCTCGGACTGGCTGGTGCGGGGCCGGCCCTGGCCGTCGATGTACTGCGTGAGGCGGATGTAGGCGATGCAGGCAGCGTCCTCCCCGATGACGTGCACGTGCGGGTTCAGGATGGTCGTGTGGATCGGCTTGCTGTTTTTGGCGAGCACTGCGGACGAGCGGGCGGGGGCTCAGCCCTCCAGCGGCCGCTAGCCCCTGGGCCACCCCGCGCCTGCCAGGGGCTCTGGGCACGGAGTGGGTGGGCTTTCCTGGGCTCCCGGCCTCCCCTCCACGCCCTCCCCGCCCCAGCTCCCGCACTCACAGTTCTCGAAGTAGAACCTGTGGAAGTCCATCCCTTCGACCAAGTTGCCCAAAGCTTCAGGCTCAAACGAGGTCAGGCCTGGGTCGCAGATTTTCCTGGGGGGCAGACCCAGGTGAGGAGGGGCCCCTCTGCACCCGCCCAGGGCGTCCAGCCCGCCTTCACAGCCCACCCAGGTGACCCAGGACCCACACAGGCCCCGACTCACGCGTAGGCTTCAAAGTCCCCGTTGTTGACTGCCTCGATGAGCTGCTCAGTGATCTTGATGATCTCCTGCTTCCGCGCTGCGGAGACACAGGCTTGGTGACCCTCGACCCCCACGCGGGGGCAGCGGCCCCCACGCAGCCCCCGCCCCTCCCACCTCTCCTCTCAGAGGGGACCCTGAGGTCTGATGCCCCCGCTGTCCAGCTCAGCCCATGCCCTCCAAGGCCGCCATGGGCTTCTACATTTCCAAGCCCAACAGGCTTCTCCCTTGTCTGTCATAAACCAAACGCCTCTGAAGAACAGGAAATTCCACCCACAGTGCAAAATGTCTAGAAAGTGCAGAAAGGGGGAATGGCACCTGCCACACCCCAGCGCCTGACCTCAGTGCCCCCGGCAGGACCCCTGGGCCCTCTGCAACTGTGCCCCAGGACCTGTCTTCCTGGTCCAGCCCACTTGGGCTTCACTCTCAAGGTCCTCCCACAACTCCTCCTGGGGGACTGAGAAGGGACGGCTCACACAGCAGGGAGGGGGCTGGGGGCTCTGGCGAGACCTCTGTCTAAAGGCCAGGAGCAGGGATGCAGGGACCAGGCAGAGGGGAGAGCAGATATGGGGGCCTCAGCCTCTCTCCCTGGGTGCCAGCGGACCAGGTGTTGGCCTCCACCTCTGCCAGTGTCCACCTGCCTGCAGTCCTGGGCCCAGGTGCTGGCCAGCACACCACCTGTCCATCCTGTTCAGTCCACCTGGGCCTCCGGGCTCCTGCTGACTTGGCCTCTGGTCCTGGACAGGTCTGGCCCCCAGGGTGGTCACCTAGGACCCCTTTGTCTCTAAGTACAATTTATTCTCATGCAAAAAATTTAAGCATGTGGAAGGAGAGAGATTAATTCAGCCCACACCCTGCAAACTCAAATCTGAACATTGTCTTATTTGCTCAGATGTTTCAAAGACATAAAATCTTACATCGTTGCAGGTGCCAGAGTGAGTGCTGCACCACGTCCCTGCACAGACATGCTCGTGTCCCCTCACATGCACCTGGGGCCCGCAGGTCAAGGCTGCCCCCACTGTGCGTCTGCGCACTTGGGACCACGGTTCCCTGCATGACCACGACGTGGGGTGGGCACTTGCAGGTCTCCACTCCAGCTGCTGGGAGTGGCACATGCCTGTGTGGATCCGTGGGCTCGGTGCCCCAAGCACTTAGCGTTCAGAAGCCTGTGCCCACGGCCCCTGCTGCCTGCCCGTCCACCCTCCCACCACCACTGGGGCTGGCCGGGCACTTCCTCCCCCGGGATCCCACCTGGAGAGGGGCCGAGTCCACAGCAGAAGATGCTTCGTGCTGTGTGTGAGTGCAGGCATGCTGTGACCTCCAAGGGGTTGGGTGCATACGTGTGTGTGTCCCATGGGAGTGTGTGCATGTGCCTGTGTGTGCGCTTGTCTGCACTGGCCTGTAAACACTGCACTTCAGCTACTGTCCCGTTTTGCTTTACCGCCCAGCTTGTGTCCAGACGCCGGCAGGGTTGGGCTCCGGGTCATCACTGCAGAAGCCCACCTGCCTGGTTGGCCCTGGAGGCTGGCCTCCAGGAGGGCGGCTGCGGGCTCCAGTACCCCCAGGCCCTGTCCACCTCCAGAGCTCTGTCCCAATCACTCCTGGGTGCTAAGCAGGGCTGCATGACCCTTCGGGGCCACAGTGCGTCCCCAGCATCCAGCCCACCTCTTTGACCTCTGCTTGAGCTATTTCCAATTCTGAGAGCCCCCTGTCCTCTGGTACCCCGGCCACCTCCCCACCACAGTCACCAGCGCCTGCTGTGTCTCATCCAGGATGCCCCTTGCCTGGGACCAAGTCCAGCCACTGCTCAGGAGCCCCCCACCTCCCACCCGACCCTGCTCATCCCGACTTCTCAGAGGGAAGGAGCTGCCCCCACCCCACAGAGCTGATGGCCGGGCAGCGGGGGCTGGGTGGCATTTCCCTGTCTTGTTCCCAGTGTACGGTGATTGCACTGTCCCCTATAGTATAAGTGAACCGATCTTCCGCTCACGGATGAAATACTGAGGTTTACATAGGTCGTCATTAAAAACGGGAGTCAGTGTAAAGGGAAGGTCCTGAGCAAACAGAAGGACATTTCCGAGCTCACAGCACAAACCTAGAAGTCTTGAGTCTGGGGGACAGCGGCAGCTGCACTCCATACACGTCCCGGCCCTGGGTGGGGGCCCTGCACACGGTCCTGCCTCTCCGGGGTGAGCTGGGGCCCCACACAGGGAGGCCCCCACCATTGGCAAAGGGTCCTGGGGGACCCCGGAGACCCCTTGCTGGCACCAACCCTGTCCCTTGGCATTCGTCAGGGGCCGGAGGCTCTCCGGCCATCCTCTGACAGCTGCGCAGGATCAGGCAGGATCGTGTGTAATCCCCGATTACGGAGGCCCGGCCTGTGCCGGCGAGCACCAGCTACGTGCTGGGGCAGCTGGCAGGCGCACACCAGCAAAGGAGGGGCCCAAGCCCACCCGGACGATGCCCTAGGCCTGGGCCTCGGTGCTGGACAGGCGGGCCCTGGTCCCCAGGTTGGAGAGGGGCACCTGGCTCAGGCCCACAGAAAGCAGGTCCCAGTCCCAGAGAGCCCCTTCGCCAGGCTGACCTGCCTCTTCTGTCAGCTGGGGACACCTACTCTCAGGTTGCTGGGAAGCCAGGGGCTTGAGTGAGACGAATCCACTCCCTGAGGGAGCTAGGCTGGGGCGGCCCCACCCTCAGCACCCCAAGGCCCCACCCCCACAGGCCAGGCCACATCAGCTGGCTCCGGACCCCAGCCTCCCCATCTAAGCCTGCTCATAGCCCCTTCTGTGGCCCCCACCTCCCTTAGTTGAGCTCAGTGCAGACCCCTAAACAGACCTGGGCTGAGCCCCCCATCCAGGCTGCCACGCAGACCCAAGGGGGATGTTGCAGCCCTGGGCCAATTCATGCAGAGGGCCCCCCTGGGGCACCCCTCCAGGTCTCCAGGGCTCAGGCGAGGGTCTGAGGGTCTGGGGGATGGGACCTGGAGCCGCTGAGCTCAGATAAGATGCTGCACAAATGGAGTTCTGACCACCCCACAGAGCCCCCCCCCGTGTGTCCACCACAGCGTCACCCCATTTCCACGAACCGGTCCGGCTCCGGTGTCACCCCCATAGCCCACATCCAATCCCCTCAGCCAGCCTGGGGCTCCAGCGGCCCCCCTACTGGGCCTGGGCGTGGCCCCTCAGCCTGAGCACAGGGTGCTGGTGGCAGGTCCTCAGCCCCCCAGGGCCGCTCCTGGTGAACCCCCAGCCTTAAGCCTGCAGGCCACAGACCCCCAGCCCACCCCTGCGGCTCTGACGGCTTCACTCGGCTCCCCTCTGCCCTGCTGCCGCCCCCAGACCTGCAGGGGGTGGGCAGGGGTCGGCACTCACCCAGCCACTCCCCCGCCATTCCGGGCCCCGGGCCCCGGGCCCAGTAGCCTCTCCTCTGAGAGCCGGGAGTCTCCCCGGAGGTGGGGGTGGCTGTGGCCCCGGGGTGTCATCCATCCCTGTAAGTGATACTGGCGGGCGGTCCGGTCGGCAGACAGACTGCTGCCTGGCTCCTCCCTGCCCGGGGCGGGGGCAGCGCCAGCCCCGCGGGGCCTCCCCTTCCAGCCCTCCCGGTCTGGGCTGCGGAGCAGCCCCGCCCTGAGAGGCCCTTCTGCCCTGGACTCTGGCCAGCCACACCCCAGATGCCACCGCAGCGGCACCCTTCTGGCCGGGTCCTCTGAGCCCCCGCACTTCCCTGTCCTGTGGAGAGCCCACAGACCTCAAGGGTCCAGCCCTGTTCATCCTGAGCCCGTGTCCAGGTTCTAGTCTGACAGGCAGGTGCTCACACCCACGTCTTCAGCCATGAACTGTTTTCCGAGGCCACGAGCACCTGGCGGAACCCCTGGGCCCCTCCCCTGTCCCCCGCTGCCCCTGCCAGAGCGGGGCAGAGCACTGCCGCCGGTCTGACACCCTGAGCACCACGGCTCACGGTGTTCCTTACACAGGGTGGTGGGGGGGTTCTGGGGGAGCCGGAGATGGGTGGGGTGGGGGACCCTGGGCCTCTGGGGTCCCCGAGCCCCCCTCGCCATGTTCGGGATGTCAGAGACCCTGGGGGCTAGGGTGGGACTGAACAGATGTGAGCACGAGGCAGGCGGGGGTGGGTGCAGGACGGGAAACCTGTGGGCTGAAAGCCAAGCAAGGGGGGCTGTGCAGAGGGGGTCACAAGGGGACTTGGGGGGGGACAAAGAGGGTCATGGGGGGTGGAGGAGAAACAGGGGTCAGGGGTCATGGGGATGTGGGGGGTGGGGTGTCAGGGGGATGGAAGGGACCATGGAGGAGACAGGGGACGCTGGGAGTCACAGATGGATGGAGACAGTCACGGGGGGAGGTGGGGAGGGGGCCAGGGGGGCCCGGGGGGGGGGGGAGGAAAGCTGCTTTGAGCAGAGGGTGCCAGGCAAGGAGGGGCACCCGGCCCAGGAGGACAGAGCACGTGGCTGAGGCTCTGCCAGCCCTGTGGGGACGGCCCGCTGGGTGGGTAGGCCAGGCCCTTACCGTCCCTTTAAGCCACAGGCCTGTGGCCGAACAGGGTCTGGGACCCCTGTGAAGTCTGTACGATCGCAGAGGCCGCAGCGGGCGGCCCGAAGGATCAGGGAGGACAGTCCGGTGGCCTCAGGGGCCGCCTGGGGCCTGGGCAGCATGTGTGTGGGGGAGCTGACGGGGAGCCGGGCTGGGCTGCTAACGAGGGTGCCCCTTCCCCGGGCACGTGGCGGTGCCAGCAGGCACAGGGAGCCACTCCACTTACATGGGGTGGGCAGGGGACCCTCAGCTTCCGGGGTCCCCGAGCCCCTCCGGCCAGAGCTCAGGATGTCAGAGACCCTGGGGGATGGACAGACGGGGTAGGCACACGAGGAGGGGAGGAGGAGGCTGCTCTCTCCCCCACCCTGGGCCTGTCTGGGGAGCAAGGAGCACCACCCCCACTGTAGTGTGAGCTAGGCCCCTGAGAGGGTCTGCCCAGGGGCTCAGCCCACCCTTGGGTCTCGAGGGTCCCCTCAGAGAGGAGCTACAGGCCCTTCAAGGAGACCCTGCGACACAGGGGGCCCGGCGACTGGCACAGGGCAGACAGAGGGCCAATGGGAGCCAGAGACAGACAGGGTGGGGGGGCCCTCGGCTTCCTGGGTCCCCGAGCCCCTCCCCACTGAGCTTGCAATGTCGGGGCCCTGGGGGCTGGGGGCATGGACAAGGCGTGAGCAGGAGGCAGGCAGCGGGAGCCCCGAAGGGAGGGGGCAGGAGAGAGACGAGGCGGTGGTCGAGCTGGAGAACCCCCCGACCCGTGACAGAGCCCGTGGCCATCCCGAGACCACAGGGTGGGGTCCATGGGCTCCGGGGGCAGCATCTCCCCACGAGGGCCCAGGGCCGTCCACTCACAGCAGACGTGCGAGGCCGGCCCAGGGGGTGCTGCGTGTGCCCACGGGCCTGCCCTGTGAACGGGCCCCCGTGCGCACGGGCTGGTCCCCTCCCCCACCCGCCTGCAGCCCAGGCCTGGTCTGCTAGAGGCCAGGGTGGGTTGGGGGGAAGCCCCCAAGCCGGCGGCTCCGGCCCGTCTTGGTCTGGGCGACCACACAAACGCCCAGTCTCCCTGGTCGAAGTCCTGTGTTCACCTCCACTCTGGGGTGTGCGGGTGCTCGGGACAGCTGCCATGCAGTGGGGCCTGGCCTCCGTCCCCGGACCACAGAGCGTCCGGCCACGGCATCCGGGGCAGACCTGAGGGCACTGGTGTGTGGTCAGATCAGAGCGTCGGGCATGGCAGCCGGGCCGGGGATGCGGCACCAGACCCCCACCCACCCACACCGAGGCCACAGAAACACCCAGAAGCCGGGAAAGGCCCCCAGGCTGCTGTCCACTCAGCTGCCAGCCAGCCAGTCCCTACTTGAAAGAACTTGAAGAGAAGAAATTGAGCAAATTCAACCATGAACGCCTTCCTCCTGTGGGAATGGAGTGCCTGGACCCTGAGGTGAGTGGGGGCACTGGGGCGGAGGGCAAAGGGCAGCAGCCTCCTGGCTGGTCAGGGCACCCAGCCTGCCTGGCTCTGCTGGACCCCGCACATGCTGGGGGGACCCCGGCACGCAAGCTGAGCCATAGTTGCCGCCACTGAGCATGGCCGGCCCCAGAAACACGGCCGACTCATGGGCCCTGACAGGGGGCCCCGCCTTCCCGCACCCCTGCCGGCCGGGAGCCTGCACGGTACCTTTGGTGTCCTCGTCCTCTATGGTGGTGTGGGTGCTGTCAGACGACTCCTGGGGAGACACAGGGAGGCGGCGGTTCAGAACGTGGGTGCCCTGCCCTGCCCAGCCCACAGGGCCTGGTGACCGGGGGACTTGGGAGGGGCCCTTGCAGGACCCCAGGACCCACAGGGAGCTGGAGCTTTGCATGGCCCCAGGGTTCAGCTTCCCACGTCCCCACGGCCAACAGATGTGCTGGGTGGGAAGGCCCTGCGTGTCCAGATAACACTGCAGTGACAGAGGAAATGAGGCTTCACAAAGCTCCAAGGCTCCCCGGGAGAGGAGGAGCCACCTCAGAACCTCGGGGGCCCAGGGAGAGTGTGGCTGCACCCACACCTCCTCCCTGAGGACGGCACCCAGCCCTCCCTGGCCTGTGCTGTCCAGCCAGGCCTGGCCCCACCTCTCCAGTGGCCTCAGGGCACCCAGATGCAGCCCAGCGCCCCCAGCCCCACTCGTGGCTTGCTGCCCTTCCCATAAGCAACCAGGTGCCATCCACCTGTCGCCAAGCTCCCAGTGAGGAATAGCTCACCAGGGCCCCTGAGGGACACTCTCTGGCCCTGACAGCATGCAACCCTCGGGGCCTGGGGCCAGTCCAGTGGTCTGTCCGCTGCAAGGTCAGAGCTCACAGCACAGCCCCATAGGATGCTCGCCGGGAGACGGGAGCCTCACCCCAGACACAGGGTCAGGTGGTGGCACCCTGGGGCTGAGACAGCCAAGAAGCCGTGGGCCGTGGTCCCCTGGTCTCAGCCCATGGCTAGGGGGCTGTCCAACTGCAGGCCTGGGCTGGGGGGTGGGGATGTTGCTGGTCCTAGAGGCAGCTGGGCCATCCACCCATCCCTCCCACCGCCCCAGAGAGATGCGCGGGGAGGGGGAGCAGAGAGGAGCAGAGGAGGGGCTAGCTCAGCAGGAAGCCGCAGGCAGCAGGGGGAGGACAGTGAGGTCACAGGTCTGTGCTGCCCCCACCCCAGGCCCTCCTCCACCAGGACCCTGGGAGCAGGGCTCTGCCATCAGCTGTCCCTGGCAGGGCTGGGCCTGCTCGCTGCTGGGCAGAGTGGACGGGGCCAGCGGCAGCCAGGAGGGTCCTGAGATGTGGCCCCTGCCCTCAGCGTCAGGGCCCCCAGTCCCCGGGTCAGCGAGTCGGGTGCAGCGACGCCTCCAAGGGCAGCTCCTGGGGCCTTCCCGGGGGGCACGGCGGTGGCCTCCGGGGCCCTGTCTGCCCTGGGAGGGGTTGCAGGACCCCCGCCCTCACACGGCCAATGCCCAGACCGCCCCGGGGCTGGGGCCTGCCTCCTGGCCCCGTAGCAGCTCGGAGGAGGGCGAGGGCGGCGCAGTACCTTGATCCCGTCCACGGGGTTATGAATGACGGTGGTCTGAGGCTCCTACAGAAGAAGGAAGCACAGAGGGAGGAAGGAGGGAGGGGGTGAGAAGAGGGGCAGTGGGCGCCCCGTGGAGCTGGGGGGAGGAGGGACAAGCAGCAGGATAGAGGGGTGCCTGGCAGGGCAGCAGTGCGAGAGGGCCCTGGGCCAGGCCAGCGGGATGGAACCGGCGAGGCGCCCGGGCCGCGGGGTGACGATGAGCTCAGGCCCAGGGCGCGGGGGAGAAGCTGTGGGGGGGCCCAGGCTGGAAGACGGCACGGGATGTGGTGGCACGTGGGATGTGGGGGTCCCGGACCCCGAGTCCAGCTGCAAGGCCGCCTGTGGAGCCCTCCGGCCCTGGGCCTGGCCTGCCCCCAGATTGGCTCCCACAAGCGGGGATGGGGCCAGGGACTCACTGGGAACCTGTGGACCAGCAGCCCCAACCTCCACTTGGGCCACCATCCTGACCACCGGCCGTGGGGCTGCCCTGGACAGGAGCCCCTGGGCGAGGCCCAGAGCCAGGGCCCTTCAGCCCGTGTCCGCCTGCCCCTCCACTGCAGGGTCCCGTGCTGTGGGCAGCCACAGGCCAGCACAGCCACACCGGCATGTGTCCCGGGCCAGCCTCCAGCCTGCGGGATGCAACTCTGACGACTTGGATGGGGAACCACCACGGGGTCTCTGCCCCCCAACCGCCCACCCCCAGATCAGCGGGTGGGCTCAGAAGGGCAGCCCTCCTTTCTCCCTGGAGAGATGGTGAAGCTCAGCCTCCCTGATGGCGCGTCCGTCCATGCAGCTCTTGGGGCTGCAGCAGGGCCCCACCGGCACGGCTCCCTGCAGGCCCCGTGGGACCCGCTGGAGGCAGAGGGGCCTGGGGCAGTGCCCTGAGTTCTGCCTCTCAGCCTCAGCGGCCCCCTGACGGCCTCTCGCCTCTGACCCACCCATCCGTGAAGGCCAGGGGTCAGCCCTCACCCCACGCCCAAGGGCAGCAGTCAGAGCCAGGCTGGGAGCTGGACCTCACCGCCACCCAGGCCACCACAGAGCCGGGTGCAGGAAGGCTAGGAAGTGGGGGGCTGAGGGGTGCAGTACCAGGGCAGCTGGAGGAAGCGACCCCTTGGGGCTGGTGGCAGCCGCGCTGTTCTTGGTGCTATTCGTCTGGGGCTGCGGCGGGGAAGACAGAGAAGAGCATTAGGGGCGATGAGGCCCCTCGTCCTCGGGTCCACCCCAGCAGGAGCCTGGGGGCAGGCCTCACCTTGACTCCGTCTGCTTTCTTGTTGAGCAGACTCTTGGCTGCTGCGTGGGGAGGAAACAGGCATCGTGAGGGAGGGGCCGCCTGCTGCACCCCTCCCCAGGCAGGGCGGCCCTGGGGGCCCGCAGGGCTCCCAAGAGTGAGAGGGTGGCTAGGTCCTGGGGGGCTCTGGGGGGGACCCTTGTCTCCTGAGGATGCCAAGATTTCTCCTCCCACTTGGGACCCTCGGCTTGCAGGGGGCAGGCGGCTCTGTAAGGAGGAAGGCGGTGCCCCCCGGATGGGGACACCAGCTGGGTGCTGGGCATCCTTAAGTCCCCACGTTCTGGGCAGGTGGGGGGCAGGGGGCTGCTGCTGGCTACTCACAGGTGCTGCCTGTCCCAACCCCACGAGCCTGCCTGCCCTTGGACTCCTGGCCCCTCTGTCGGAGGACAGGACTCGGAGCTCCACCCCACACCAGAGCCCCGAGGGGCAGCCTCTCCCTCTGGGGCTACTTCCTGGCCTGGCTCTGCAGCGGGCTGGGGCCATGCCCGCCTCCATGCCCACCAGCCCAGGACCGTGGGCTCTGAGGGGGGTCAGCAGGATGGCATGCGTGGGGCCACCCGCAGCCCAGGCGGCCCCCACCCCTCTGAGGTCCAGACCAGACGGAAGGCCGCTCGCCCCAGCCCTCTGTGTGGAGGTCAGGGAAGCCGGGCCTGCCTCCCCTCTCTGCGCCTGCCCACCTGCCAGCCCACGTGCCTCGGCCTCCAGCACCTGAGCCCTCCACGGAGGTTATGCTAACTACAGAACTGCAGAAAGAAGTCAGCTTACCTTACGACAAGGAAAGGTGAGGAGGGGAGAGAGAAAACAAGGCTTGCGTCAGTCCAGGCCGAGGGCCACGCTGCAGCCGGACCCTCCTGGGCCCCGCCCACCCAGCCATCCACCAGGCAAGCGGCGCCCACGCGGCTGGCGGGTGCAGGTGGGAAGCAGCGCAGGGCCCCTCACCCCGGGCCCGGGCGAACTGGAGTCTGCCAGCTCGCAGGGTCAGGGCGGCCGGGGGCCGGGCCCGACCTCTCCTGCTGGGGGCAGCCCTGGGGCCGCTGCCCTGGCCAGGGGGGCAGAGAGACGGGCACTCAGGCCCTGCGAGGCCCGGGGCCCCTCTGCCAGCAGCTTCGGCATCGCCTGCCACCTCCCCTCCTGAGGCAGAACGCTGGGTGGGCTGGGCGTCTATCTGCACGGCGGGCCCTCTGAGGGTGTCCTCCGAGGGGGGTCCTGGTGCTGCTCAGCTTGGGAAGCACAGCAGGACCCTCAGAGCAGTGACCAGGCCGGGGCCAGGGCTGCCAGGCTGCCCACTGACCACTGTCCTCGAGGTCCAGTCCTCGCCACTGCCTTCAGGGCAACCCGTGGGGACACGGCTGGCTGCTAGGTCAGAGGCCCCGCGAGGCAGTCCGAGCAGCTGCCCCGGACACAGTTTCCTGGCCTCCGGGGCCCTGTCGCTTCTCTCAAAGCTTCCCTCGCAGGGCCCACGGGGCAGCTTCCCCAGCACCCCCGCCCCAGCCACCCCCTGCGAGTGAAAGACGGCAGACCCCCCTTTTTCTTGTCCCCTGGGCCCCCAAGGGTGAGGCCCGGGCAGCTGGACTCAGGACCTGCCCTCAGGCTGCCCAGGGCCAGAGATTCCCGGGGCCACGTGAAAACCTGCCCTGGCGGCAGCTGAAACCTGCGTCCCCGCCGCCCACGGCGGAGGGACAGCACAGCACAGCCCGCGGACCGACCAGTCTCCCCCGCCCGCCCCCCCCCCCGCCAGCCTCCTCATCCTGGTGAGCACGGTCTCTCACCTCCCGCTCACCCCGCCTCTGGGCCCCGCCGCCCCCTCAGTGGCAGTCATCTGAGCTCACGGAGCCCGGGGACCCTGTCTGTGCTGGCCCACCAGCCGGCTGCCCACGGCCCGCTGGGCCTGGCGCGCAGGCATTCAGCCCGTCTCAAAGGCCCTTGGCCTGTGAGCCGAGCAAGCTGCCCCCCATTCTCCAGTTTAGGGTGGTGTGGGGCGAGTTGCCCCCCGTGCCACGTGGCCTGGGCCCTCGGCATTCCCGCCGGCTTTGAGGTAGGAGCGGCGCAGGAGACGGTTCCGTGCGGTCTGCCCCTCGGGTGAGGAGGGGGCTCCGGTCAGGCCCCGGGCAGAGGCAGCGGGAGGCCTCGAGACAGGCCCGGGTCTGAAGAGGGTCCCTTCAGTCCTCGACTCTGCTGAGCCTGAGGTCCAGGCCATGCTGCTCTCGGCCTGCGGCCCCCTAGCCTGGGCTCCAAGCAACAGCTGTCCTCTCGCCCGGCCTGCTCACCAGTCCCAGGCCCCCCCGAGTGCAGCTGCAGCCGCTGCGTCTCCCGGAGGAAGGACCTCCACAGCCTGCCCTGCCCGGTCGGGGCCAGCAGCAGCCCCGGGCTCGGGAGGTGCTGCTGTGCGTTCCTGAGTCGCACACGTCCTGGCCCAGCGGGGGCCCGTGCAGACCGAGCACCGACCCCCTGCCCCACCCCTCCTCAGGGGTCCTCGGGCCGGGCCACCGCTGCCCCCGAAGCTCCCGAGTCCCTCAGGGCGAAGGCAGCGGGGGCCTGGCCCGGGCTTCCATCGACGGCCACATCTCTACAGAGACACGGCCCCCCGCTGCCCAAGGGTTGCTCCGTCCCCTGAAGAGAAGCTACGCCTCGGACCTGAGAGGCTCACACCACGCCCTCTGCCCGCCCCCCGTCTGTGGGGCTGGGGCGGCCACCGGGGTGGCCTGACCCAGCAGGGAGGCCCCTCGGCCCGCAGGGCCAGCCTTCACCTTGTCCTGTCGCTGGTCACCAAGGACAGCCATGCTGGGCCCCGCCACATGCACTGACCACCCCCAGGGCAGGCGGCCCTCAGCGCCCAGACGGAGCCCCCATGCACGCAGCCTCATGCAGGCAGGCGGCGCTGCAGGCGGGAGCCGGGCAGGGAGCAGCTTGGGCGCCCGCCCCTCTCCCTGCGCCTGGGGCAGGGCTTCGCCGGGAGCCTCTGGCCTCGCCTTCCCACACCCCAGCCGGTCCCTCCCCTCGGGTGCTGCAGAAAGAGCTGGAAAGGAAGCAGCTCAGGACAGCCCTCCAGGCCCGCCTGCGGGGCCTGCCCACGGACAGAGCACCGGCCTCCTCCCCGAGGCGGCCCTGCCCTGGTGCCCCCGGAGGAGGCCACTGGGAAGGCTGGGGTGTCGGTCGGGCAGGCAGGGCTGCCCAGCCTGTGGGGTTGAGGGCAGGAGTGGGGTGGGCATGAGGGAAAGAGAGGGCCTGGGCCTGGGCTTGGGCCTGGGAGGAGACAGGGCCTTCGCCTGGGCCCCCGCAGCTCAGGGAGCCCCAGGGCCGGCCCTCAGCAGCACTGCCCGCCCTACCCTGCACCCCCTGGGCTGGGAGCTGGGCCCACGGGCCCCGGAGGGACTCCTGAGGCCAGCAGCCCTCACAGGGTCTGGGCCAGGTCCCAGGCAGGTGGGAGCTGACCTGGGACTCCTGGGAGCAGGTTGGCAAAACCAGGGTCTCCCCTGTGGGTTTGGGACAGGGGGAGGGGTCCTTGCAGGGAAGAACCAAGAGGAGGCCTTGAAAGTCATTCTCAGGGCAGCGGAAGACCTCCGTCTGGGGCTCACGGGGCAGCTGTGCACGTATGAGACCCCTGGGTGACGGGGCCAGGGTGACGGGGAGCCAAGCAGGCTCTCAGGGGCAGGGTCTCTGCCTCTGTGCCCTTCCCCTGGGCACCCCCAGTCAGGGCTGGGATCCGCGGTAGCAGGCCGGCGGCTTGCTATGGATGGTCAAGGTCATTCTGAATGGGGACTGGTTGGACAAGTGGAAACAGTTTCTGAAGCAAAGGGCTCAGAACAGAGGGGTCTTTCGACCTCCAGACTCAGGGTCCAGGACTGGGGGGTCAAATACACGAATGTGGGGCCCGGGTCAGGGGTCGCCTAGCCTGTCCCTCCTTTGCTGGGCAGGGCCTGAGGCCCGGGGCTCTGGGGGACGCGGCCAGCGCGGGAGCAGGGCTCCCGGGCCCCTGGGCACTGCCGCAGCCAGGGGAGCTGCATGCCGGCTGCAGGACACGGGTCCAAAGCGTCTACCTTGTTCCACCAGCCCCATGGTGGCGCCGGAGGCCGCGGTGGACATTGTGGCCGGAGCGGTGGTCTGTCTGCCCACTGTTAGCACCGGTTAGAGACGAGGGGGGGGCGGACACAGACGGGGGCGAGGTGGGGAGAGAAGAGACAAAGGAAGCAGAAGAAGATTAGAGTCCAGGCCGAGGGGGCGGCGGTTCCACAGCCCCTGTCTCGGCAGAACCGGAGCCGGGGTGGGGGAGGGGGGCGGCCAGCGGCGCGCGGGCATCACCTCCTTCTTCCTCAGAGAGCCTGTGGCCCCGCGTGGGCAGGACTTGCCCCGCCAGTGACGGCGTGCCCGCCCACTGCCCCGCTCCACAGCAAAGGGACAGGAGGGCGCCGGACGCACACACACAGTGAGGACGGACCACGGACTCCGCACACGCAAGTCACACAACAGGGAGTGGGCGGCTGGCCCCACTCAGGTGATGCTGTCCCTGGCGGGCCTGCCGGGGCCTTTGGCCTCGGGGTCCCAGACCCCCCACCCCAGCGGCCGCACGCCCCCAGCCCCGCCCGCCATCCGTGACCCAGGCCGGGGGCCACCAGCGTGTCCAGAGCTCAGCAGAGAGGCTCCAGACCCCCCTCTCACCTCCCACACACAAGACGGTGCTCAGAAGTTTCAGGACAACGACAGGCCACAGAGGAGCCGACCTACACCTGGACAGACACACGGAGCTGGGGTGTCAGGCGGGGACACAGAGACCCAACACGCAGGGGCGGGCCGGGCGGCCTCCTGGCCCGGAGCAGGTGGGGCAGACCGGCCCTCAGAGGACAGGGGCCAGGCCAGCAGCAGCGGGGGCGGGGCTGAGGTGGGAGAAGGGCTGGTGGTGGGTGGCAGGCCACTGAGTCTTCCCAGAGAAGGCTGTTCTCACCTGAGAAATTCCGGGTGGCCAGCATGGTGGTGAGGATGGCGCCCTGGGGAGAGACCCACAGCTGAGGCCAGGGCCATCTGCCGGCCAGGACTGCGTCGTCACCCCTGCCCAGCCTCAGCCTGCGGGTGTCTGGCAGGACTCGCCCACTGCGCCCCGACAAGCCACTCGATTCCAGAGTTAACACGGTGACACGCCCTGGGCCCTAAACTGCCCACGGACCAGGGCCTGGGACGTGCCTCAGGACCCCCAGGGGGTCCCTGACGGCCTCATCCCAGTGTGCTCGGCTGTGCCTGGCACCCCCTCTGCCTGCACCGTGCAGGGTGGGCCAGGACCACCCCCTCCGGTCTCTCCCCGACCACCCCGCCCGCCCAAGCATTAGGCGGGAGAGCCAGGCAGAGGGCCAGGAGTGTCGCCCGGGGCCCTCGGGGCAGGCACGGGCAGCTCAGGGGGGCCAGCGATGCGCCTGGAGGCCCGGCCCACTTATGGGCCCCTCGGTGTCACGTCGGGGCCCTGGGCCCCCCTGACACGTGAGGTCTGCTGACGAGCAGCCTGACCCCAGCGTGGGGCCCTCGCGGGCGCGGGCACCTCCACGGGGCGCCGGTGGGTGCCGGCCCGAGCCTCACCTTGAGCTTCCTGCGGGCGTTGAACTTCTTCAGGCACTCCACCGTCTCCTGCCTGTGCATCATGGAGGCCACCGTGGAGCGTTGCTGCGGGGGAGGGGCCAGGGCGGGGTTCAGGGCGGCGGCCGGCCCGCCCGTGCGGGAACCGGACCCAGGGTCAGGACCCAGGGTCAGCCCGTCCCCCGGGGCGGCCCCGTGCGGAGGCAACTTACGCAGACCCACGGGTGCTTCAGGGCCTCGTGCGCGGTGATGCGCTTGGCGGGGTTGATGGTCAGCATCTGGTTGATGAGGTTTTTGGCTTCGGGTGTGACTGTGTCCCACTCGGGGGACGGGAACTGGGGGAGGAGACAGTGCTCAGGGGGTCTGTGCCCCCCCACTGCCCCGCAGGAGCCGGCTCCCCTGGGTCAGGGGTCAGGAGGCGGCACTCACGTCGTAGGCGCCGGCCTTGATCTGCTGGTAGAGCTTGTGCTGGTCCTCGTCCCAGAAGGGCGGGTAGCCCACCAGCAGGATGTACAGGATCACGCCTGGGGGGCCAAGGAGCGGGCTCACACCACGGTCCTCACCCAGGCCCGTGTGTCTCTGCACCCGTGGAGCCCTCCGGGCGGCCACCGGCCTGTCGCTGGCCACTGCGGGGGCTGTTGACTGCGGCCCACGGGGGTCAGAAGTCCAGCTCCACGGCTGTGGGCCCTCAGTCAGGACCTCGGCCCTGGCAGGGGTGGGGGGGTCCTGCCTGAAGCTGGCAAGCCCCACGAGGGCACTGGGGTCCTGAGCTCCCCTCCCCCACCGCCCGAGTCAGCAGGTGTCACCAGTTGGCAAACAGTGGCGTTGCCCATAGCCCCATCCATCACCTCCGCCCCACCCTTACCCTCCTCCACAAGGTGGTCTGCACAGCAAGGCCCAGCACCTGGGGCACTGGGGATGCGGGTCGTGAGCTCAGCAACAGCCAGGGTCCCAGGTCTAGTCTGGGTGGGAGGGGTTCTGGGCTGGGGCAGGTCCCAGGCCAGCCCTGTGCACACCCCCACCCACTGCCTCCCCCTCTGCCCTGCCCTCCCGCCTCACCGCATGCCCAGATGTCCACTGGCTTGCCATAGGCCTCCTTGCGCAGCACCTCTGGGGACAGGTAGCCCGGCGTGCCGGCGAACCCTGCGGAGAGGGAAGGGCTGTGTGAGCGCCTGGGGCAGCAGACCCCTCTCCCTGCCCCTCCGGCCGGGCGCTCACCAAACCACGCCTGCTGGTCCCCCTGCACTTCGATGGCCAGGCCAAAGTCCGCCAGCTTCACCGCGGCCCCCTTGCACTTGCTGGCCAGGAGCAGGTTCTCAGGCTGCAGGGGACCCCCAGAAGGGGACAAAACAGAGGTGACAGTGGTTTGCAGGGGGGCGCACAGGTCTGACCCCGCTGTGTGGGTGTCTCCCGGGCGCTGCTGGCCCCTGTGAGCCCAACCCCACAGCCTGTACCCCACAGTCTGCCCCCTGGGCGCAGGGACAGAAGCCTCGCAGGGAAAAGCTGGCTCTCAGAGTGCGGCTGGGATCCCACAGACCCGGACAGGGAACTCGGGGTGCTGGACCAGAACCAAGTGCACCCTGGCAGCCCTGGGGGACCCCATCAGCAGTGGGGTGTCCCTCCCTGCCCCATGCCTAGCTGCTCAGAGACATGGGGGGGGGCTGCGTGAAGTCAGCACTCCCTGCAGGGTGTGACCCCTAAGGACCAGGAGGAACGGCCAAGGGCCCCAAAGCCCAGGCAGTGGAAGACATCTGTCTGCCACGCCCACGGCTCTCAGTTTGGTGGGCGGGGCTCTGTCTGCCCCACCCCCGGCCGACAGCACAGGTGGGAAAGGCTGGCCTCCGCACCTCAGGGAGCTGCGCCCTTGCTCAGGGAGGAAAGACATCGGCCCCAGGCCTGACACTTGTGCGCTGCGCCCTGTACTCCGAGCCCCTCCTGTCCCAGCCCATGTCACCGGCCTGACCACCTCCAGCGGTCAGTGCTCGGAGCCTCAGCCGCCGGACCCCTCACCCCCACCCCCGCCAGGGCTCCCTCCCCACGGGCAAGCCCACGGAGGAGGCCACGGGGCCACGTGGGGACAAGAAGGAAGGGTTGCATGGAAAGCAGCTTCACGGGGGATCTGACCACAAATCCCCAGCTCTGCAGGGCACGGTGGGTCCTCAGGCCCAGGCCTGCGGCTTCTGCAGTGAGAGGCTGGCCTTTGCTCCGAGCCAGCCCGGCCCCCGCTTCTGTGCACCCAGGACAACACACCTTTGAGGTGGGGGAAGCACTCTCGAGAGAGCTCATAGCCTTGTCCCCCGTCCCAGTCCCCCCCACTTCGCTCTCTCCCCCTCCACCGACCCTCCTCCCAGGCCCCTCAATTCCAAAAGAACCTGTGAAGCCGCTGTTATCGGGAGGGTCTGCGACCTTGATCCCCAGCAGCGCACTCCGTGCAGCTCAGAAAACCCGCACAAGTTCCCTCCAGGTCTGGACACTTTACGTCAGCACCCTCTACCACCACCACGGAAGGCCAACACCGCGGCCCGGCTCCGGACACTGCTTGGAACTGGTGTCAGCGCCGCGCTCAGCCAGAGTGAGGCGGACAGGGGACCCCGACCTCTGAGGCGGCGGGAATGCAGCCGGGGCGGGACCTGAATCTACAGATCCCCGCCCACCTGCCCGCCGGGGAAAGGGCAGCTGGGCCCCGCCTCCTGCTGCTGGAGACGGGGAGGGGTGGGGGGGCGGGCCTCTGCTGCCCCTGCTCTGCCTCTGTGGGTGGCCAGAGCTGCGAGAGCCTCAGTCAGCACAGGGTCCTCTCTGGAGCAGGGACAGCCGCTCCCCAGACCTGGTGGGAAGTCCCGCGGCCGCCTCCTTTTTCCCAGCAGGGCTCCCGTGTGCCCACTCCATGCCTCTGCCTTCGCCTCAAAGTCGGCCGCAGGTCTCGGGGTCCGGGAACAAGGTGGGGGCTCCCGCCCGCTCCCACGGCCCCTCCTCTCAGGGGCCCCGAGTGAGGCCCATTCAGACAAGACACAGTGACCGGCGGTGGCACGAGCACGCGAGGCAGACACGTGGAAGGACAGGGAACGCTGGGACGTGCACAGAGGGAGCCGGGACACGGGACGGGCACAGGAGAGGGTGCTGGGCCTGCTCCTGGCGGGACACTCAGAGCACCGCGCAGAGCTCAGCCCCCACACACAAGCCCTCAGTGGCCCACGGAAGGGGTGACCCCATTCGGTGCCGGCGCCAGGGGCAGGTTGTCTCCGCCGCCACCAGGGGGTCCCCCACCGCAGACAAGACACTGACAGAACCAGCCTGGGGAGAGCTGGAGTCCAAGAAGGCGGGCGGGCGGGAGAAGGAGGACGGTAGGGGTTCCCCCTAAAGGCCCTCCCGCCCCCCACCCCCGTGTCCTGGGGTGACCAGCCTTTGGAAGGTCTGCAGCCACTTCGCCCAGGGCGGGGCTGAGAGCCACAGGGACGTGGGGGATGGGCCGGGAGTTTGCAGAGACGCTGGAGGCCGGCCCCGCGCACCTCTCCCGCGGCGTCAGCACCCTCTGCAAGCACGACGCGAGGGTCCCCCCCTCAACCCAGAGGCAGAGAGTGAGACCCTGAAGGTGCTCACAGACTGATTTTTGACAGCTGTCCCCTTTGGCCCTGGAGCCTGGAGGTGCGAAGGCCGTGCGCAGTCCCGAGCACGCGCACGCACGCGCGCTCCACATGCTGTCTCACACGCGCACGTACCTCATGCGCGCATGCGCGAGCACGGCCCCTGCGAGCCCGGCCCCCACGTACATGGCGCTCCAGGCCTCCTCTCACGGGACGTGCAAGCAGACTGCGGACCCCGGCACAGCGCGGGGCGGGGACTCACCTTGAGGTCCCTGTGGACGACCCCCATTTGGTGGCAATGGAGAACCGCCTCCAGGATCTGCTGGATGCAGTGACTGCGGCAGACAGCACGTGCATTAGTGCGGGGGCCCGGGGGGGTGCAGGAGCCAGGGTGAGGGGCTGTGTGGCACTTGGGCGGGGGGTCCCAGCCTGGCAGGGCCGCGGGAGGCAGGGAATCAAGTTGCTGTCTGCCACATGGGAGCAGAGACACTGGCCGGGGAGGCCATTTGGGTCCCTTCCTCACCTTCAGGTCAGCTCAGGTAGGCCAGGCCCTTGGGCCACCCCTGCCCCCCACCAGGCCCACCTGGAGACTCTCAGAGGAAACTGACAGGCTCCCCAGGGCGCCTCCCCAGGCTCATGCTGGCCAAGGCTGACCCTGAGCTGGCCATCTGGGAGGGAGGGCAGGGCAGAGCCCACACCCTGCAAGGCAGGCTGGGGACCCCAGGCAGGGAAAGGGCAGAGGTGAAAGAGCAGAGGACAGAGGGGGGTGGGCACCCAGGTGTGGGCAGTGCTGAAGCTGCAGCCCCCATCACTTGTGGGCCAGAGCAGGTGCCACTAATAAACTGGAACACCCCCACCCACGCCAGCCCCCAGCCCCCACCTCCCCCAACTGGACAGCTCAGCTCTGCAGCATCCCAGAGGCCCCAGGGAGAAGTCCGGGCTGCCCCAGGCACCTCCAACACCTGAGCTTCACAATGTGGCCCGCACATCAGGTCAGATGTCCCCAGCCCCACACACACCAGACCCTGCAGCCTGAGCCTGCCTCCCCCAAGTGTCCAGATGGTTTCCAGCAGCCCCCAGAGCCAGGCACAGGCCCTGCGGGGTCCCCCACCACCCCTGTGGTGTTGGCAGCTATGTGAGGCTGGCGGGCCGCAGGTTGCCTGGAGCCCACCACCTGGGCTCTCCCTCACAGCCCCTCTGGCTGGGCCGAGGTGGAGAAAGGCAGATCCCCCAGGACCCTTCCTGCCACCGCTGGACCCTGTGGAGTGGCAGGACCGGCTGGAGGCGTGGGCTTTGTTTTCCTAATGCTCCTGATGACCAACGGGGCGAAGCGGTGGAGGACCAGCCCACTCCCCAGAAGACTGTGGCCACATCTGGAGACCACCGGCCACTGCACGGGACAGCAGACCGGAGTTCCTCCTGCAGCGTGGTAGAACCCAGAGTCGAGAACCACGATGACGGGTCACTGGCAGCCCTGACCTGCGACGGCCACCAAGGGCTGGAACCACAGTCCTGTTGTGCGCACCCCCGGCCGCCGCCCCCCAGCTCCTGCCATGTCCAGCACCACCCCACCCCGCCGCTTTGTCACTTCAGACACCCTGCAGGCTGGCCCGGCCTGCAGGCTGGTCCAGAGGCCTGTCCTGCTCACGTGGGCAGGGCTCCGCGAGGAGGCCTAAGGAGCACTCATGGCCAGGGCAGGCCACCATGCAGCTGCTGGGACCCTGCACCGAGCTGCCAGCTGACCAGCCTCACCCTGCACAGCTGTGGCCAGGCCCTGGCTCTGCCCCCGGGTCGGGGGTGGCCCACGCACCTAGCTGTGAGCCCTGCGTGCCTGTGGAGACCCTGACTTTCCTTCTGTGACTAGCTTGCCTCGCCCTGCAGAGGCCTCTCCGCCCTGACTGTCCGACACCACACGCACTGGTTCCAGCTTTGGGTTTCGTATCTCCAGCTCAGAGGCCTTGCCCCCCAGAATGCCCTTCCGAGTTTCCACGTGGGGTGTCCTCAAAGCACCCACACTGTCCCCCCTGCAGTTGTGGGCAGCCCCATCTTCTATATAGGTATCCGGGCAGCACCTGTCTCCACTGACTGTGGCTGCAGTGACCATGGGGACCTGTTGTTCTCTCCTCTCGGGCGTGCCCTTGACCCCTGCTTTGCAGCACGTGTCCCCAAATGTCTGTGGGACCCGCGGGTCTGTCTGCTGCAGCTCTGCTCACGAGGTAGACTCGGACAGGTGGGCTTTGCTCCTGCCCTCCCCCGAGTCTCCCCCCCCCCGGGGGTACAGGGCTCCTGCTGGGCAGCACTCGGTCCGCACCTCTCCTGAGCACCGTGGGCTGGGCCAGCAGCACTGGCGTCCAGCCCTGCATTTCTTCCCTGTCCACCCTCCTGCAGGCCCCGCCAGATGTGTCAGGGCCACCCCGAGGGCCGCCCACGAAGGCAGGATACAGACCTTCCCTGGCCTTGCCCCCCACGCTCTCCAAGAGCCGGACGAGCAAACCAGGCTCCACAACAGAAAATGGGGGGCCACCCGCCAACCAGGCCGTGTTGGCCCATCTCTGGCTAGCTCTTCAGAGAGTGTCCCCAGCATGGGAGTCGTCTCTGCAGACTGCAGGTGGGCGGGACACCCAGCTGCCTGGAGAGAGGCCCACTCCAGCAGCCCCACCGGTGGCAACTTCTGGGGACAGCCCCCGGGAACCCCTTCACTTCGCTCCTGCCCTGGCCTCCAGGCTGCCTGAAACTACGGCCCGAGGACATGAGGCTGCCTGGCCGTGGCCGGTCCCCAGGTCGTCTCCCTTCTTCCTCGGGGCTGTCTGTCGTGTTCTGACAATCCAGAAAGTCGCTTCCGTGCTCCGAGCGGTCCTGAGGGGCACCCCAGAGGCTGGCCGGTCCTGGACGTGCGCTCTGGGCCCTGGCCCCTCTCCTCCCTCACGGCCAGCACGGCCACGGCCCTTGCACCATCTTGCACAAGCCACATTGTTTTTTAGGGCTTTTAGGGTGGATTGTAAAGACTTTGAACATTGCTTTTCCAGGTTTGAAAAGAGACCCCTTGCTTTCCTCACCTGCTTCCTGCCTCCTGGGCTGCAGAAGAGTTCGGAGTGGCAGCCCCCGGCCTGGCCGCCCCCCTCCAGGGACCCACGCTTGGGACCCACTCGAGGCTCTCTCATCGTGCTGGGCTCTGGGCAGCAAGCCCTGTGCATGCCCTGGAGGGTCACTGGCCAGGAAAGGGCCCTGCTCTGGGTGTCTGGGGGCTCCTGCCTCCCACAACCCTGAGTCCTTCCTCCAGGGCTTCCCAGGGGAAACGCAGGCCCCGGGGTGCCCGTGGTGACCAGCCAGACTCCCTCCTGTCCCGGGCAGAGCACTCACTCCACGGTCAAAGACAGGTCTCCAAGTCGGAGGAAGGCCCAGGACCCCCGGGGAAGCTCCCCAGCAGGGAGAGCTGAAGGACTGTCCCTCTGCCCTGCCACGCCTCCTGGCGGCCCGGCTGTGAGAAGGAACGAGGCGTCCTGGCCGGAACTAGAGGCCCTGTCTTTTCTGGGCCAGTGCCCAGGGGCCCCAAAGGCCAGTGGAGTCCAACTGCGGAAAGAGGGCAGGATGCCGGGGGGAGGGATCCCCAGGAGTGAAGGGGTGAGGCCCGGGAGGAAGGGGCAGGTGGCGAGGGAGGGGCTCGTGGTCACAGGCGTTTGGGGGCCTGCGGTATGACTGGAGTGTGGGGCACAGTCGGAATGTGGGCGGGGCATGGGGGCGCGGTCAGAGCGTGGGCGCAGTCGGGAGGGCGTGGTGGGAGATGTGGGCCTCCTCGGGGCCTGGACATGGTGTGGGCGTGGCCAGGGCATGGGCGTGGTCTGGTTGTGGGCGTGGTTGGGGAATGTGGTGAGGTCAGGGGCACGGTCGGCCTGTGGGCGTGCACAGGGCTCCACAGCAAGGCTCCGTCAGATGATGGCCAAGGGTCCAGGGGGGCTCTAAGACCAGAGTGGGGCCGGGGCTGTGGGCTGTGCCCCCTCCTCGGGGCCTGTGCTGCAGGGCAGGCCGGCACCACACCCTGGGCCATGCCCGGTGGGGGGCACGGAGGGTTCAGGAGCCGGTCTGCATGGTCCGAACAGGGAAGCGAGAGGGAAGGCAAGCGACCTTCCCAAGCGTCCAAGTGGTAACCCTCCCCCCTGAGGACGCGTTCAGCCCGGGGCTGGACGCGTGGACCATGTCGTGTGGGCCATGACGTCCCTTCTGGGGGGGCCAGCGGGACCCTCTCTCAAGGCCTGGCCTCCCTCCGCCGCCCAGGAGCCCTGTGCCCTGGCAGATGTGAGGGTGGCCTGGGCCCTGGATCCCCAACTCCCACGGGCAGGCGGGCAGGCACCCACACCGGGACACGCCCCCAGAGCACGGCAGAGTGGGCAGCGGTGGCTGCGCCCCACCTTCCACTTTTCTACTAAGTGGGAACTGAAACTCATTTTCCTCCTCTCGAAACGGACAGGCCCCTCCCGGGGCGTTTGCAACATGAAAGCCCTTCCTCCAGGAGCCTCAGGAGGTCAGCCAGCGCCCCTGCGCCCGCGGGTCTGGCCTCCCCTCCCCATCCCAGGCCGCCCGCAGCCCCAGCCGTCCAGCTCAGGCTCGCCAGGACCCACGCACACCTTCTCACAGGGCCTCAGGCCGTCGCCAACAGGCAAGGTGGCCTGTGGGTGCAGAAGCAAGTCACAAAAAGCTACTCAAAAAGTCATATTCATTTTTCTTGATTAGAAAAGTAATACATATTCATCGAAGAAAAATTTAAAAATAGACAAAGAAGATTAAAAAACTGAAATGCATCCATAATTCCACCCACTAAAGAGGGCCACTGACGGCTTTTTTCTTTTCGTCAACGCATGTCTCCACGGGCCAGGCCCCAGGTGGACACGGTGGGGAGTGACCGCCCTCAGTGGTCTCCAAGGTGAGAGGCACTATGAAGAGTGACACCCTGCCGTGGATCGGGTGGCATCTGGCCGACAAGCATGGGACACGGCAGGCCACGGTGGCCGACCCTTCCAGGGCAGGGCCCTGCCAACCCCCAGCAGCCACGCTGCAGATGGCATTTCTGAGGACACCAGTCCGCTTCACCCCCTGGTGAGGGCTGACCCCAGCAGGAAGGGCTGCCCAGCACCCTCTGGGAGGCCCTGCCCGGACAGAGTCCCCATCCTTCCGTCCCTTGCACAGGAGCCTGACTTCCTGCCCCTGCCCCGGAGACCCTGGGAGGGGACTCCAGGGACCACAGCCGGACACAGGGGCCCTCTCATGCTGTAAGGGTGGCCCCGGAGGATGTCTGGAAAGGGAATCCTGGTCTGTCTTTGGGACCAGCATTTGGAAACTTCATGTCCCTGTGAGGAAGGTGGCCTGGGGGTGCCTGCTGAGAGCTATCGACCGACACCCAAGGGAGGGCAGGAGGGCGCCCGTGACCGCCCTGCTCTCCCCCACCACCAGCCACCCCGAGGACAGCACCCCTCTGTGGGCGACTCCCCACCTGAGGAAAGGGAGCAGGCCTGGGCCCTCCCACTTGGCAGGCAGGCTGACAGCTTTGTCCGGCCGACCACCTGCCTGGCCCGTGTCGGGACAACGTGGGCCAGAGAGGCAGGAGTGGGGCTGGGGGGAGAGGGCAGGACGGGACGGTGCGAGGGGTCCACACCCACCTGGCGTCCGCCTCACTGTAGTACTCTCTGGCCACGATGTCCTCGAAGAGCTCCCCGCCAGTGACCCTGCGGGAAAGCGCACGGAAGTCTCGGCCTGCAGGCCCCGCCACCCTGTCCTCTCCACTGCTGTCTCTGCCGGCTCCACCTCCACCCCCAGCCCCTGCACCATCGCCACCGCCACCGGGACTGCTGGCTCCCCGAGGCCCCCCATGGGGCCACCTGTCAGTCGGTCCTCACCCCCCCCCACAGCGCTGGGCTCCGGCGGCCCTCCCTCCTCGCTCCCCACGAAGCGCCAGCCCGTTTCCCCTTGCTGGTGCCCTCGGCCTCTCTGCACGCCTGCCCGTCGTGTGGGCCGGGAGGGGCAACAGCCTCTTGTGGGCACACGCACGCACGTGCACGTGGTCACACATTTACACGTTCAAGCGTGCGCACACACACCACTCCCGCCCCCTTGTCTGCCCCCGAATCACACACACCCGTCGGCTACCAACTGGACAGGCCCCCTGCAGCTTGGCGGCCCAGACACTTCCTGGGGGAACGGGGATGACCGCGTGCCTGCACGTCTGTGGGCCCAGGGGACGGCCACTGCAGGGTCCGGCCTTGGCCTGGCTGCCCTGGCCTGGCCGCCCTGGCCACCTGACTTGTGGGACACAGGGGTACGGAGGGGTGGCCAGACCCTCGCAGCGACTGCCCCCGCTCCTCTCGACCGAGGAATCCGAGCGGGCTGAGGGCTCCCCAGGCCCCGAGCAGCCGGGCACTGAGGCGGCAGCCCCCGGCGGGGCTTTCCTGGCCCTGGCACAGCCTGGAGGCCACACAGAGCGGCCCGAGGCGCGTGGCCCCCGCCCGCCCCCGTCCCTGCAGCCCCGTCCCCGGGGCGCTGACTCACAGGCAGCTAAATACAGCCCCGCGGGGCGCTGTCGGGAGCGAGGGGTGAGGTCACCGCTGCTAAATCCAGCAGCCGGGGAGGGCGGCGGAGGCCCCAGATGCCTTCTCGCTCAGCCCCCGCACACGCACACGCGTGCACACGCCCCACGCGTGCACACACCCCACGGAGCACCCCCCACAGAGACATGTGTGCACTCACAGATCACACAGACACACACACATGTCCATGCCATTGCACACATCTATGCTGACACCCACGTGTGCACACTCAACACACACACATGCACACGTGCAACTGTGGCCACACGCATTCTCACACGCGGGCACACTTTCGTGGCCGCCGTGGGGGGCACGCCGAGGGGAGGAGGGGACGAGGCCGAGCACCTGCTCCTTCGCAGGCCTCCCTTCCTCTCTCCAGCGCGGTCCGGCTGGACCCCCCTGCAGCCCCTGTCTCCTGGGGCCGAGCTGCTCACCACTAAGCAAATGGGAAGGCAAGGGAGGCTGGGCGGGCCCGCCCCGCCCCAAGCACTTACAGATCGAAGACCAGGTAGTGGAACCCTTCTTCCGAGATGCTGTCGTGCAGCCGCACTGCGGGGACAGGAGAGGCCGTGAGGGCTGGCGGCGGAGCTGCCCCCCTGCCAGGGGTGACTCGCCCGCCCTGGGCCCGGGGCTCCCACTGCAGGGGGTGGGGGGGGGGGCGGGGCGGGGGAGAGTCGGGTGCACCTGGGCCCTGCTGGCCTGCAGCCCCAGGGCTCTGTCTGGACGGGCTCACAGACTGGGCCCCGAAGGAGCCACTGGGGGGCGTGGGGAGAGGGGCCGAGGGGCAGGGACCCCAGACAGACAGCCACACACCCAGCGAGACATCAGCCCCAAAGGCCCCGCCCCCGGGGCTGCCGTTCTGGACCGCGAGGTCAGCAGGACGACGCCCCTCCCCCATCACAGCTTAGCCAAGGTCTGGTCTGTCCCTGAGCCCGCGACCGTGCAGCCCAGGCCCGTGGTGGGGACACGCGAGTGCCGGGGGAGTGCACTCCAGCGCGGGACGGCACACCCAGCGCCTCCTCCCGCTGAGCGGGGGTGCACGGCCCCGAACAGCAAATCTTTCTGGGAACGGCTCTCTCTGGACACCACCACCCCCCATGTACCGGATTCCGCCCTGCACCCCGGGCAGCCGCACGCGGGTGCTGCTCTGAGCGCTGGGCGTGTGCCCGCCGGGAGCCCACCGTCCCGGCGGGTCACACGTGGGAAGCAGGCCGCAGGCCACAGCGGCTGCGGCTAAGAGCAGGAGTGTGGACAGGGAGGGGCTCAGGCCCCCGAGAGGCCGCCCTCTGGGGCCCCCACCCCAGCCGGCGCCCCCCACGCCTCCCCAGTTCCTAACTGGCTCCAGCGTCCTCCCTCTTCCAGCTCTGGCCCCTCCCGCCCAGGGCCCAGCCCCTCCTTGCCAGGAGACCCACAGGGCTTGCAGTGGCCTGTGACCCGGGGCCACAGCCTGACGGTGCCCACCCAGGGACACTGCTGGGACCTCTCTCTGCTCCCGTGCAGGGGCCCTGGCGTCCCAGGGGCCCAGGAGTCTGGGAAGCGGAAGGCCTTCGTCCTGGAGGAGGCCGCCCTGCCCGAGCCCCTGCCCCACAGCACAGCTGACAGAGGGCAGGTCCCACCCGGTCCCACCCCCTGGCCCCGGAGGACTCCAGGGTCTGCACGGGAGCTGAGGCTGTGTGCACACGGACACGTTTAAAAATATACTTTCAACACTTAAAAATAGTTACATATGATTTTAATGGTTGAGAAGAAAACCTAGCTGGCACCTCAGAACCACAGCTTCAGACAGAGCTGAGGAAAGAGTGAGCTGTCAGAACCCGTTTGAGTACAAACAGCCAGTACAAGACACGCGGGCGGGCGGCAGGCGGGCAGCACCGCACACCCCGAGAGTCCAGTGGGGCAGCCCCGGGTGGACACCCCAGCCCAGGGTGCAGGGGGAGGAGGCTCAGGGATGCACACCCTCTGCTGGCGCCTCAGCGCCTCCGGGGCCTGCGCCCCAAGTCCCAGGGGGCCACCATGGGCCCCCATCTCGGGCCCCATCCCTGGGCCTGTGCTGTCCCGGACAGGGGCCCCCTTCGCCCGTGGCCTACGGTTTGGTCAGCTGCGGGCTGAGCCGGGGGTGGCGACGTGGGCCCTCGGCACATAGACTCCTGTCCCCTTGGCCCGCCCACACCGGTCTCCACAGGACGTCCTCCCAAGGCCACGCCCCCCCGGCCCCCACACGGGAGGGAGTCCAGTTCCGGCCCCAGAAACAGGGGGTAGAAATTCGCCGTCACGGAGCCAGGCCTGGGGGTGGGGAGGGCCGGTGTGCAGAGGGGAGGCCGGGAGAGGCCAGGTGACCCTCTGAGCGGAGGGTGACGGGCTCTGCTTAATGCCGACGGGGCACCAGCCACACGTACCAAGGCTGTGGGAGAGTCTGCCTGCGGGGCCCCGTTTGATCTGCCACCTCAGGGACCCTGGGGCAGCAAGGGGGGCTGCGGACCTGCCTGCCCGCTGAGTGGCAACGTCTAAGTGCCCGCCTCCAGCCCCACAGTGAGGCAGAAGCCCCCTTGCCCTTGGCTGGGTCACAGCTGCCGGCTCCCTGGTCCCTACACGGGCTGAATGGGGCACTCGGGACAAGGGGGCGGGCAAGGGTGCCAACCTGAGGTCTCTTGGGGCAGTCAGGCACAACACGGACGTGTGGGGGGGGGCCTCTGTGGGCTGTGCCGGTTCCAGCCCCCCTGGGGCAGCAGGGCCTCGTTCATCCCCCCCGCCCCCCATCCCCATGCAAGGCTCTCTGCCCAGGGAGGACGCCTGGCTGTGTCCTCTGCCCAGGGCCCACCTTGTCTCCGAGGAGAAGTTAAACCCCCAGGGGCTGGCAGCCAGCCCTGCACCCTCTCCCCACGGGCAGCACCCCCCGTGCCAACCGTGTGCCGTGAAACGCACACAAACCCTCGGACGTTCCTCTTTGCAGAGCCGGGCTCCCCACCGCGCCCCTGCTCGGCCTTCTCGGGAGCAGGGGAAGGCGGGGGCAGTGAAACCCCCGGACTAGTGGACGAAATGGCCCAGTGGTCCCTCCCGCCGGGGAATGCAGAGCCCCACGCAGCTCAGCGGCCCGCACCCTGGCACACGCCCACGCAGCGGGGGGGTGCGGGCGCAGAGCCCCTGTCGACGACGGGTGAGCGGAGCGGCACCGGCCCCCGTGCTCCAAGGGGGGGCACCAGCGGCCTGTTCGGGGGAGGGAGCCCTGCCGTTCACCGCGACGGGGGCGGCCCCGAGGACGCCACGCCCTGGGGAAGAAGCCGTCACCGAAGGTCGTGCATCGTGGGATCCCGCAGCGGTGAGGCTCCCAGAGCTGTCAGTTCACAGCTCTGCCGCCTCCGTGTTCTGGAATGTTCCGTCTACACCCCGAAGTCTCAGCTCTGCCCCCCCCACACACACATCCTGGAATGAAGCTGCTGCAGGACCGCGGGGACCGCTCGGTGCTGACCCAGAACTGTGCTGAGCACACCGAGGCCTCTCGTGGAAGAGCTGCCCACAAACTCCGTCCCAGAGAGCACCTGCCCCCCACCCCCTGCCTGAGGCGACTCCTGCAAATGGCTCAGAATGGGGACCCAGCCTTGGCTGGTGCTCAGGCGTCACAGGCGTGGGGCTGGTGGGGAGAGGGTTCACGCAGAGCAAGCCTGGACGTGGTGCCCGGTGGCAGAGGGGCCCTACTCAGTTGGGGGGGGGCAGGCTGGAGCCCTAGGTGTGCTGGGACGTCCCCCAGCCAGTGACGGGTGGGCTGGGGTCCCTGTGGACACCGCCGCAGAATCCTGGTGCACTGGCGAGGAAGACAGATTCCTGGGCCCCCGGCCTCCCTCCCGGGACCGGTCAGGAATGTGACGCCAATGACACCAGAAGACTCGGCCTCAGAGTCTGCAACTAAAGAGCATGGGCCAGGCCCCCAGGAAATGAGACACTGCCCCCTGATGCCCCCGCCAGGCCCCCCACAACTGGGCCAGCACAGCTGGAGAAGACTCAGGACCCTGGAGGGGCCGGGGCCCCCAGGGTCAGCTCTAAGGACCAGCCAGGCCCCCTGTGGCCAAAGCCCCACTCTGGCCGCGACACGGATGCCCAGGCCAGCGGCCCCCAAACCGCGGCTCAGCGCAGCCTGACACTCCTGTGAGCACCGAGTCCCAGGCCCGTCCTGGCATGACTGAGTCACAGTTCTGGTGGATGAGGCCCGGGGGTCCGCCCTTGGAAGCCCCTGGTGAATGGGGTCCACCATCCCCTCAGGGCCCCTGGCGGCTGCCCAGCGTGGGCAGGGCCTGGGCCCCAGCTCCCAGAAGTCCACAAGTGAGTAGGACAGGCGGCTGGACACCTGAGTGCTTCACAGGGTGATAGGTAGGGACCACCTTGGAGCTCTGGGAATGGGGGCAGGCAGGCAGGGCCAGCTGGCCGGAGACCCACACCAGCCTCCGGGGCCAGCACCGCCCAGCCGCTGAGCCGCCCCCCGCACCACAGACTCGCTCTGGGGCACCAGAAAGGAGGAACCTACCTGGGCAGGAGGGCTGCACCCCCAGACTGAGCCCCGGCTCCCCACTAGGCTGCATGTGTCCCCGAGAGGCAGCAGGCGGGGTGGGGTCCCCGAGGCCACGGAGTTCTGGCCCTGGGCTGGTGGGGACCCCAGAGGCTCTGCAGAACCAGACCCGGACCTCGGTCCGGGGCCGGGCTCGCCGTGGTCTCTGGTCTCCGGTTTCCGGCCTCGTTTCTTTGTCAGCTGCCACCCTGCGGCTTCTCTGAAGCCAGAGGGCACCCAGGAGCCCGTGTCTCCAGGGGAAGCCGGGCTGGAGTCACAGAGGGTGGACAGGGACCCCTGCGCAGCTGCGGCCCTGACCTCCCCCAGGGGCGGCCCCACGCCCAGAATCCCTCCAGGAGGAGACGCCCTGTTGGGGCCGGAGCGTGGCGGCACCGGAGCAGCGCGGGAGGGGACAGGGGACAGAAGCCGCCGGTGTCTGCAAGGGACAGAGGCCACCTGCTATTGGGAGGGAGGTCCCGCCGCCCCCCCACCCCCTCCCCCCCGCCGCTCACCGATGTTGGAGTGCTTCAGGAGGCGGCAGATCCGAGCCTCTCTCTCCAGCTTCTGGTGGTCTGGGGACGGAAGGGGACACGGAATCACCTGGGGCCCCAGCAGCCCAGCCAGTCACTCCTCACGCCTGCTGCCAGGCCAGCGGCCAGCCACGAGACTCATGGGTAGGGGCCCACCCGGCTCCGTCCCACCCGAGGCGGAGGCCACGCCCCACTCGCACGCCAGCCTGGGAGCCACCACCCGCCCTGGAGCCGCAGGCCAGAGGGGCCGTGTGCCCGGGCACGTGGCACCCACCCGCCCTGCCAGGGGCTGGCAGAGGCATCAAACAAGCCATTTACGTTCCCTAAACAGAAACACCCACACATAAAACACAGCGTTCATTCACACCCCATAAAATCGCTCAACGAACAAAATCAGATCAACTTGACTCAAAGACATCAGCTAGCTTGGGCCTGTGGTGCCCCATTAGCCGCCCAGCTGCGTGAAACCCGGGGCCGTGGGAGGTGTGGGGCCCCCAGCTTTGGGGCGGGGGCCCAGGAATGGAAGCAGCCCCCACACTGTGGGGGGGGGGCTGGGGGCTGTCACTGTGTGGTGGCCACCACGAGGGGGAGGGGCAGAAGAAACAGGTGCCTGCAGGGTGGTCACACACAGAACTCCAACAACGCCCCTGGGAATGGTGGGGGGACTGAGCCCAGCTCCTCACCAGCCCCCTGGCAAGGCAGCAGGGCCCCCCAGGCAGCTGGGCTGTCAGGAGGGAAGAGAAGGCTGCTGAGGGCAGAGGGCAAGCATGGGCCTGCAGTGGTCACCATCACAGAGGGGAAACTGAGGCACGCAGTGGCGCTCAGAGTCCTCCAGGCCGGCACTCCATCCTTCATGGCCCCCAGGGACGGCCCCCCTCCCAGGGCCCCACCCCCCACCCGCCTGGCCCCCAGCTGCTCCCTGGCTGTGGGGTTGGGGGAGAAGAGCCCAAAGGAGGGGACGGGGGGACAGGGTGGCGCTGGGCCTCTCGCCGGCCGCCAGCAGCAGCAGCAGCAGCAGCAGCGCCGTCTCTGGCGGGCGGGCGTGAGAGCCGCTGGGCGCAGCCTGGCCGTCCCGGACCCTCACTGCGGCTGGTGAGCCCCTGGCAGAGCCCCAGCCCCCCAGCCCAGCCCTCCCCCCTCCTGCGGCTCTGCCCTCAGGGCCTCAGGAATGGAGGGGGCGGGTGGAGGGTGAGGAGCAGAGAGGGCGCCCGGGGGAGGAAGGGGAGAGCACCGGCCCAGGGAGGGGGCACAGGCTCAGCGCCCCCGCAGTGCGGCACTGCGGCCCGGTTAACCCAGTTCAGTGGCTTCGTGGCGCCGTCCCGGCTCTGGGTCTGGGTCGTGGGCAGCGGGAAGCCGAGGTGCGGGAGCGCGGGGCAGGTGTGGGTGCTCAGCCCCATCCCACCCTCTGCAGGGGTGCCCCCAAGCAGGGGGGCCACCCAGGCCCTGGACAGGGGTGGCCCCAAGTGACCAGAAAAGGGGCATCAGCCGGGAGGTGGGAGGAGGTACAGAGGTGAGGCCCCCCGTGCGCACACCTGTGGCCTCAGTCTCCTCACCTGGGAGGTCAGCCCCCTAACGGCAAGGTCAGTGCTCCCCAAGGTCAGCCCCACCTGTGGGGCCAGCCCCCTGTTGAGAGGTCACCGACGTCCCCAGGTCAGCCTCATACCTGAGGAGTCCTCAGCCCTCCCCAGCCGGGTCAAGGCCAGAGCCTGTGCCCCCAGCTCTGCGCTGCGAAGAGGAGGCCCACTTTCCTGGGCCCCTGGGGGGTCTGAGGGCCCTGGGGTCGCTGGGTGCAGACACAGTGCTGCTGAAGGTCAGGGCACAGTAGATGCCCGGGGCCTCCAGGGGGCGGCCACCGGCCGAGGGTCACTCCGGGACACTCACCCCAGCGAGCACAAGCCCAGCTCACCACCCAGGGTGCCCTCTAGGGCACCAAAATCGCCCCCACAGCCCCGTCGTGCCGGCAACATGCTGGCAGGGTCGGGGGAGAGGCAGCAGGAACCCGAAACGCTGAGGAAACCCGTGTCCCCACTGATCTCTCACCCCAGCCAATTCATTTTCCTCTAACTGCCTTTGTGAACGGCGGTTTAATAATCTCTAATTATTCAGCACATTCGCCGATTCTGAATGTCTCACCATCCTCTATTTAATTAAGTATTACATTTAAAAAACCTAACTCACCCCCTGGCACCATCCAGGGTTGACAGGCATCGTCCGTGAGAGCCGGCCGTTCTGGGGCGAGCGGTGCTCCGTGTCCCGGCCAGGGCCCCCCTGGGCCCCCACCTCCCAGGGCCGGGTGGGGGCCGGCCCCCCTGTAGCTCCCCGGGAGCTTGTTGGGCCCTGGGGGACCCCCGTGGCCACCAGGCCTCCCCTCCTGCCTCCTGCCCACCCTGAGGTTCCTGCACCTGGGCCTCCCCGATGCCCGGGAGTCCAGTGGACAGCAGCCTCCACCGCACCCAGCACCTGCCTGGCCTCACCCCTGGGGGACGGGCCGCAGCACAGCTGTCCGGGACCAGCCCGGGGGGCCACGGAGCACACAGGCCCTGGCCTCTGAGCGGTGCTGCCACAGGGCCCCGGGGCCTCCCTCCTCACGCCCTGGCCCACCCCGGGGCCCTGTGTCACCCTCCTGCTCGGCTGGAGGGAGCAGTGAGGGTGTGGGGCTGACCCTCCTGGGCTGGGAGGACACTGAGTCCTGGAGGTATACAGCAGGCGCCTAAACACAGCAAAGCGAGCCTCACGGTCTAGGCTCAGCGGCCTGTCCCCAGGGCCCTGGGCTGGGGCCACAGACCCGGCAGGTGGAGGTGGTTCCCCGCACCTGCAGTGGGGGTGGTGCCAGGTCCGGCCAGGATGCCTTGGCTGGGCCTCTCAGACTCCTGTCCGGAGCCAACGGCACCACCCTCGGCCTCCACCTGACCCCCAGCCCCGCTGAGGGCAGCACGGCCACCAGGCACGGCCCTGCCGCCCCTGGGACCCTCCCTGTCCACCCCTGGGAGGGCCTCCCCTGGCAGGGGCCAGTGAGCGTGGGCAGCCCCGGATCTGTGTGACCCCGGAGGTGTGACCCCGGATCTGAGGGTGGGGTCCCCATCCCTCCCGCTCCACCTGGGTCCCCCCGCCAGCCCGGACACCGGGCCCTGCCACCCCTGTGCCCCGCCCTCTGCGCACGGCCCACCTACCTCTGGCCGACAGCTTCTTGGTGTTGATGATCTTGGCCGCGTACTCATGGCCGGTGCAGAGCTTGACACAGCGTCGCACCACGGAGAACGCCCCCCTGGGCACCGAGCGGGACGGGGGCGGGGACAGGGAAGAAGCTGGTTAGTCTCCCCGAGGACGCCCAGCCCCCCCACGAGGCCAGGCCACCACAGGCAGAGCTCCCCGCACAGCCGCTGCCCCCACGCTGCCCCAGCTCAGCGGGGCCCAGCCGGCGGCCGCTCAGGGTGCAGCCTCTGGCGCTCCGTGCCAAGGCCCCGAGGCCCCGAGGCCCAGTGAGGGTGCCCCCACGGCGCAGTGTCGGGCGGGGGGTGCAGATGTGTACGGTCACTAAGCTGGGAAGCCGGGGGACTGGACCCCCATCGCCACGGCCCCCACCTCATCTGACCGAGTGTGACGTGCTCACGCACAGGGTGTGTCCTCAAAAGGTCCTTTTCTTAGGAAGAAGCGTAAAGAGAGGAGGCTGTTTCTGGCGGCCACCCCTGGGCGCTGACCATCCCCAGGGGCCGGTCCCTGAGCACAGGACAGGCGCTCAGCCACTGCACCCAGCGGCCTGGGCGCTCCCGACAGCAGGGGACCGCCCCATCGGCCCTCCGAGAGGCTGCTGGATTTCGGGGGCGCCCAAACTTTGGAGCCAAAAAGAGCCGAGTGCCTTGAGTAGAAGGAGGGGATGACACCCTCGGGTGTGTGTTTTGTGAAGCCCCCACCGTGGCCTGGAGCAGAGGTCCCCTCGCAGGGGGGGACTCCCCGCCCACAGTCCTGCCGGAGGAGGTCCTCCCGCGACGGGCTGCGTCCGGGCACAGGAGGGCGGTCCAGGGCCGCCTGTCGCATGTGACCCCCCGGGGCCCTGGGGTGTCTGCCTCCCTCAGCCAGCGCGGCCACCACGTCTGCGTCCAATGGCACTTCACACGCACCCCCTCTGACCCAGGCGGCGGACCCCCTTCTCCGCACAGACACCCCCCCAGGGCCGGTGAGCTGCCGGCGACCCCAGCCCGCCCCGAGTCTGGAAACCAACGAGCGCCGTCGGACCCACCCACCGACTTACAAGCAAAGTCAGGCGGACCCACGGACTGACGCAGAAACGGCCGCTGGCAGAACTCGGGGCCGAGCTCCACAAGACTCTCAGCCTGAGGGGAGGGAGGGGCTTTCGGAGGAAGCTGCCGGCTCCGGCTGTGGGCACACCTGGGGGCTTATTTTCCCACAGCCCCAGTGCCCACCGGGGGCTCTGAGCATGCCCCTGCCCCCCCCCGCCCACCGGCTGCCCCCCACGGGGGCTTCTGAGAGGCTGTGCACGGGGGCCGTTCGGGAAGCTGCCGGACATCAGAGCAAAGCCCCGAGTCAGGGCCGAGGGCGTGCCCCCCGCCGGGCGCCCTTCCACGGCCAGCTGCCCCCAGACCACCTGCGGGGCCTCACCACCCCACCCAGACCTCCCTGAGGCGGGAGGTTCGGCCAGGAGCTGTTCTCGCCTGCCCGGCCGGGTCACCACCCACCTCCTCAGCCTGAGGCTGCCTGGCCTGGGGACCCTGGTGTCACCTCCAGGCCACTGTGCTCTCAAGAGGGCCCCCCAGTGCCTGAGCTCAGGGCCCGCAGGAGCGGGGGCTCCGGCCTCTGCGTCACCCTGCCACCGCCCCAGGCCCCGCGCGCTCCGGGGCTGCACACTGGGTGGGGCACGCCCAGCGAGGTGGACGGCGGCCGCCCCAGCACCAGCTCAGAAGAAAGCGGGCAGCTGGCTCCGTGCAGCCGCGGGAGTGGCTGTGAGCGGGCTTCCTCCCGGCTGCTCCGCGAGGCCGCGCCCCACGGCGACCTTCAAAGGCAGCCGCCCCGCTGGTCGGAGTGCCAGGTAGGCACGCAGAGCAGAGCGCAGCTCGGGGGAGCAGCCGCGGGAGGGGCGGCCCGCCTGCCGCACACGGGCTTCCGAAGGCTCCCGGGCCGGACCACAGACGCCTGGGGACCCGCAGGACGCCGTGCCGCCACTCGCTCCTCCCCGTGAGCCGCGTCTGCACGGCCGCGCCGGCCGGAGGTGGGCTTTGCCCCGTCTCAGACCCACCAGACCTCCCCGCCCTCGGCCGTGTTCCCGAGGAGGGCGGACACCGCAGGGTCAGCCGGGAGCCCGGCGTCGCACCGGCGGGCCGCGTGGGGCCGTCTCAGGGGAACGTGGCGGGGCCGTCTCGGGGGGCGGCAGAGCCGCGGCACCTGGCACACGGGCTCCTCCAGCCGCTCCAGCCTCCCTGCGCCGGAGCAGCGCCCGGGCCTCACAAGTCACCGGCACCGAGGTGCCGCCCCCCGTGCAGGAGGAGGCGTGTGTGTCCCTTGCACACCCGCGTTCACAGCCGTGCCATTCGTCACAGCCAGAGAGGAGCGGAGCCGGGCCCGTCGGCAGACGAGGGGGGTTCTAACACCTGCCGCGCCGCTGCCAGACCGAGGGGACGCGACACCGAGAGAAACCAGACGGGGGGGGGGCGGGGGGCAGATGCTGCTCGGTCCCACCCACGGCGGGGGTGGGGGCCCCCCTGGGGTGGTCAGACCCGGAGACAGAGACGAGACGGTGGAGCCAGGGGCTGGGGGAGGGGAGGGGAGCGAGCGTTCGACGGGGTGGAGTGTCAGACTGGACGACGGAAACTTCCGGAGACGACGGTGGTGACGGCTGCACAGCGACGGGAATGCGTGTGCTGCCGCCGAGCCCAGGGCCCAGGCGGCGGACGGCGTGTGGGACGTGTTTCACCGCAGCCGCGTGTGGGGCCTGGGAGCGGGAAGGAAGACTGGTGGGGGGAGGTGGCGGCGCCGTCTTCACCCCTGGGCGAGCGGAGGGAGCGCCCGCAGCACCACGTGCCGGAGCGAGGCCCACCCTCGGCGGACGAACAAGAAAACTTCAAAGGAAAGCCCGTGGCCGCCGCCAGCAGACAGTGCCCGTGCGCTCCGGGGCACATGCGGCCGTGGCCAGCAGGCGCAGGCGGTGGACGCTCGGCCGGGATGTCTGCCTGCTGGACACCTGTCCCGCCCCCCGGCCCGCGGCTCTGTCCCCAGCGTGGGCGGGAAAGCAGCCTGTCCGCTGCCGGCTCTGAGCTGTGTCCCCCGAACCGAGGCCCAGAGACGGCGCGGGGAAAGCTGCCAGAGGCTCCAGACCAGGACGGGCGCCCGGAAGGGACCACACGCCGCGGGCCCTGCCCTCACAGTGACGCCCCCCTTCCCGGACACGGAGGCCGAGGCTCTGAGGTGGCCCTTCCCGCCCCGCCCCCCTTCCAGCACCCTGGCCACCCACTGTCCCCGCCGCTGGGAGGGAACCACGTCCTTGGCCTCCCGCGCAGAGGGCGGCGCTGAGCTTAGGCCCACGGTCTGCTCGCGCCCAGCAACGCCCCGCGCAGAGGCCCAGGCTGGACACCCAGGGGCCGCAACGAGTGACGTCACACGAGTCTCCCAGAGGCCGAGCCCCAGCCACCACCCAGCACCCGCTGGGACCGGCCTGGGGCTGGGGGACGCAGGGGCACGAGCCAGAGGGGACTGAGCCCCCCACCACCACGGCTCTGTCCGGACGGGAGGAGGACGGACTGCGTCCCAGCAGAGGAGCTCACCTCCCGGGTGCCTGCGAAGCCCTGAACGTCCCTTCCGAGGGGCCACCAGGGACAGGAGGCAGACGGAGCAGACCCCAGAGACACCCCCGAGGACCCTTTAAGGAAGGAGGAGAGGAAGGGAGGGGAGACGGAGCGGGAACTAGAGGGGACCGCCTGGCCCATGTCCCTTGCCCCACGGTGTCACCAGCACCGTGAGGTGGCGCCCGTCAGTCACCACACCAGGAAACGCCTGAAGTCAAGGAGGAGCACAGGGAAGAGGGAAAGAACGCCCCCACCAGGAAGGCCACCAGGCCTGCGCGACGTGGCTGACTGTCCAGACGAGCGTCTGTTCGTGTGCACCAGAAAACTAGGACACAGGGTACACGTGCAGACTTCCGGGGCCTGCGGAGGAACTGGGAGACGCAGGCCTCCCGGACGACCCCCTGCTGCAGAGGCCCCCCTGCCCTGAGGGTGCAGCCCCACCACGTGGGGCCCAGGGACCCCGGCCTGGAGAGGCGCCCGGGAGGTGCGAAGGAGGTTCCCCGTGACAGCCCGTGTGGGCGCCCCACCGTCCCCGCGCTGCCAATCCCGCTGACAGCGTGTCCGCCCCCTCCGCCCACGCCCGTCACCACGCCTGCGGCCTCCCTGCTCCCGGGGGGCCTCACCCGCCAGCGCCCCGCCGCCGTGAGCCGGCTCCTTGGGGTGCAGAGCCCTCGTCTGCTCCGAGACCCTGCTGGACCCGAGGCCAGCTGCCCGGCATCCGGAATGCCGCGGTTCGGGGAACCGGGGCCGGCTGCAGCCCTCGGGGAGGGGCTGCGGGTCTCACCCTGGGGCCCCCCTCCCCCCTGACACGCACACACGTGCACACACATGCAGTCTCCCACACCAGCCTCCACACCCTGTTCCCGCTACCTCCCGGCTCCGTGACCAGCGCCCAGCGTGGGGCGGGCAAGGGAGCGCAGGTGGGCCCCGTCCTGGGGACCGGGAGGGACCGTGCCCGGGGGGCTGCGGCCAGGGCCGCCCACACCTTGTGAACCTCCCTTCTCAGCCCCTTGAACCCGAGATGCGGGTGCGAGAGGTCTGTTTCCTCTACACGGGTTTTATTTGTTTTTAACCACCTTCGGTGAGAGGTCACTCGCTGGCCACACAATCCCCGCGCACACAATGAAAAGCACACAATGCAGTGGTTTTTGCTTCGTTCCTGCCCATCACCACAAGCTAAGTGTGCAAGGTCCTCCTCACGTCGCCCTGCGGTCACGCCGCACAAGGCCGCCGGGGCCCCCGGCGCTGGATGGCGCAGGCCGTGCACCTCGCGGCCTTAGTGACGGCGCTTTCCCCGCGCACTGTGTGGCCAGCGTGCACCGCGGCGGCGAGCCCCGGTCGGCGCCCAGCACGGGTCCTGCTGTCCAAGGCCGGCGTGGCGCCCACGGCACGGTCACAGGGTCATCCGTGGGTGGCCACTGGGGACGTGTCCACTCTCTGGCTGTCATGGATAATCTGCTGTAGACAAGGT